CCAACAACGTTCAAGCTTTGATGACCTCGAGGAGTTTTGCTTGAAAACGAACTTGATCAAAGAAGGATGCCAAGCTCCTCGAAAAGTCGATCGATTGCAAAAGGATAACAAAAGCCGCAGTGATGCAAATTTAGTAGACTGAGCCAAGAGCCAAGATCGACGTGATGTCCATGGCGATGCCGTTTCGAGTGAAAACAAAGATGAACCACTCGGAGCTTTACGAAAACGAAAGGCTTTTACGAGAAGTTAAAAATTAGAAGCTGTGCAATTCACCAAGAAAATTGCAAACAAGGCTGCCAACGAGAAGTTTCGTGTCAATTGAGCTATAATTATGTGATGTGTTCAGCAAAAGGATTGAGCAGCAACAATCTAATGTATTCAAGCGTTTGAAAGGAGCCGAAAGGCATTTGATATCAGTTAAATTAGAAGATGAGTTACTCAAATGGATTACTCAAACAAATTACTCAATTACGAATTACTCAAAGCGCAGAGAAATGCAAAAATTGAAAGTCTCAAAACGAACGATTCGAAAACAGGCAGACAGCTAATTTTTTTACTGTTAGAAATAAATGAATTCTTTCACCAGAGGACTCGGGCACACCTCTTCGACAGCACCGTCCTCCCGTCACTCTGTTACGGGACAGAGACCTGGGCCACGAGACAGACCACCGAACGAGCCCTGAGAACGACGCATCGAGCCCTTGAAAGGAATTTCCTCGGGCACAATAGGAAGACGCAGCTCGACCAACATTTAAGAAGTACGGATATGCGCCAGCTCTCGGGACTCAGAGATCTAGTGGAAGTGATTGAGAGAAAAGACTCAGATGGGCCGGCCACGTAGCCAGAAGAACAGACGACAGATGGACGATACGGATCACAGAGTGGCTACCACGAGACCAGAAGAGGCCCATCGAAAGACCAGCAATGAGGTGGAGCACAAGAGTGGCAGAGACGGTCAGAGAAAGGATGGCTAGAGTTCAACCATCACCAGCACAAGCAAGTCGAAGACTTCGAACCAGGAACAACCAAGATAGGAAACACTGGATGACAATAGCAAGGGATAGAGAAATGTGGAAGCAGGTTGTGATCTACGCAAATAGGAACACCTAAGTGCGAAGACAAATCAAAAACGAAAAACCCGAAAGGCTTTTACGAGAAGTTAAAAATTAGAAGCTGTGCAATTCACCGAGAAAATTGCAAACAAGGCTGCCAACGAGAAGTTTCGTGTCAATTGAGCTATAATTATGCGATGGGTTCAGCAAAAGGATTGAGCAGCAATAATCTAATGTATTCAAGCGTTTGAAAGGAGTCGGAAGGCGTTTGTCATTAGTTAAATTAGAAGATGAGTTACTCAAATGGACTACTCAAACGAATTACTCAATTACGAATTACTAAAAGCGCAGAGAAATGCAAAAATTGAAAGTCTCAAAACGAATGATTCGGAAACAGGCAGACAGTTAATTTTTTTTATTGTTAGAAATAAATGAATTCTTAAAAACAATTACTATTTTGAGCAGTGGTCGCTTACCAAAACGATTTTGAAAATTTGTGAAACTTTTCAATTTACTTCTGAAGTTTATAGATAAGAGTTGAAAAATAAAAGCACATGTGCTTCTATTGGAATAATTGCGGTATGTCAATAACCAAATAAAAACTGTCAACCTTATGAGTCCAATGCGAGAAAGCCATGATTTCATGAAGAAGATCAGTCGAGACGCCCAGCTCAGAGGCTTTCTTTTCAGTCATTTCTAAAATTTTAAATTTATTCTTAAAAATTGGGAAATTTTTACCATAAGAGACGTTGTTGGAGAAGCGAACGAACTTGTCGGCTGTGGAAAAACGATTCTCGTACGCTAAGAAACGTGGTGGTCCTGTAATTGAAAGCAGATCTTATTGAAATCTCTTCTTGGAATCAAATTTATCCAAGCTTATCAGTTATACCCAGGCTTGTTCAAAAAGCCAAAAATCAAGGCCACTTAAAGCCAAATATAACGAGCTTTAATTAGATTGATTGAATTTGGCTTGAAATTTTGGCTTTTTAGAAGCCACGGTAGAACTGGTCACCTTGGCGGGGATTCTAAGGCAACCAAGTTGTTAAGAGCCAAGCTAAACCAAGCCAAAAGCCAACAATTAGTGACTGTGACTTTGCTTGGTCCTGGTTTGGTCCGGCTTTGTGCCTAGGTACAAGTCTACCTGCTGCCGGCTTAATCGCAATCCATTTCGCTTTCGAGAACTTTAGTGGAACGAATGCCAATCCAAGTTTTTTTTTTTGGTCAACTCTTCATTGAATTGTGTGGCTAAATAGGAAGCAATCGTCTGATTTTCGCAGGCAGTTCTGTAACGAAACGCCGCGTTCAAGCCTGCACCCTCATGCAAATATTCTTTCAGCACTATCGGCTGCTTTTTGATTTTCACAACGCTTGGACTCTTTTCGTCGACATAAGTTGAGCTGTCCACTCCATAGAAAGCAGCTCTTTCACCACCTTTTGCAAACGGATTTTCCGAGATCTTAACGACCAATCTTTTCATTGGTTTTTTGACTAGAGGCCGGTCTTCCGTAATTTCTTCGATGCTTTTTGGGAGTTCGTACTTGTAGATTTCACCAACGGATGCGGGCAATATATTCCAGTTTGGCTCACATTTTTTGTACTCATATTCTCGTTCTTTTCTCTTTTGGTCACCGGATTGCTTACTTTTTTCAATCGATGAGCTGACTGACTCAGAAACAGCTGTTGTTACAGAATCCACCAAATCGAGAACGTTTTTCACATCAAACTGGAGAATCTCATTTCCGTATGCTTGCGCAAAATGCTTGATCATCAAATCCGTGCATGAAGTGAGTTTTCCGAAATGATACTTGCTCAATGCCTCCGAAAACGTCTTCCGGTGGATCATCTCCTCCACCGGCAATAATACCGGCCACTTTGCTTTGAAATTTGGGAACAGAATCTGTGAACGACAGTATTTCAAATGGGACATCGTCTCCGAAATCGCGATAACCCACAAAAGCCAACTTGAGCTCGGAAACAGTTGCTTCTTTATCTTGCGGAGTCCTTTGAGTAAGATTTGCGACAATTCTTTGGATTGAATCCTTCACTTCGTCTATATGCTTTTGCATTGAACCAGTTGAATCAACGAGAAAGCACAGTTCCACGTTGCGAGCACGCCGAATCGCAACAAACATCTCGTTGATTTGTTTGTTACGTATATATTGACGTATATATTCAAATATTGACGGCCACCTAAAAATCAAAATGATTATATAGTATGAACGTTGTCTATCGGTATGACAAAAACCACATACTTATTGGGTTGTGGGTATGAATTGGCACGTTTTTTCAATTTAAATCCTATGGATGTAAACAAACATGAAGGGTTTGTGGAAAATAGATAAGTGAACATTCACTCTTGCGCAAACAATGGACTTTCCCTTTTGAAATATTTGGTCTTTGGAATTTTACTTTACTTTGTTCTAACTATTGAAAATCTGCCACCTGGAGATCGGCGACACGTTATGTTGTACGAATTTCTATAAGGACACAAGAACCTCTAGTGTTTAGCTAATATTCGGAATGTTTATGAGGAAGGATCAGCTCCACTAGGACATGTGCAAACTGGTTTGTTAAATTCCGTTCTGGGGATGAATCTTCGAAGCCAAAGGGAGGGGTCATTCAGCAGTCCAGCTGGATAATGGCAGTCCAGCTGGATAATGAGCAGTCCAGCTTGATAATGAGCAGTACAGCATCCAGCAGCTCAACTGGATAATGGCAGTCCAGCATCCAGCAATCCAGCTGGATAATGCCAAGTTGCTCGAAATTTTTCAAACCAACAACAGGCTTTCTTTACGCGGAATAACAGAAGAGTTATCAGTTGATCATATAATAAAACTCGAACATTGCATACACTTGGGTTTAAACCGTATTAAGGACTTAGATTCCACATGATTTACCGGACACTCAGAAATGGCAACGTGCCAGAAATCAGTCTCGGAAAGCAGAAATCAGAAATCAGAAAGCTCTCGATGTTCTGGGATTTGGAAGAGCCTATCTACTGGGAGCTTTTGGATAGCAAGACAACCCTCAACTCAACCGAATACTCAACTTAATCAAATACTCGAAGCATCTTGACAAGTCAGCTAAACCATTGCCAGATAAAAGACCCTAAAGAGAAAAATCATTCTTCAACATGATAATGCTAGGACCATATGTTTCGAAGATGACTTTCGAAGCTGACTTTCGAAGATGACGGAAGAGCCTATCTACTGGGGACTTTTGGATAGCAAGACAACCCTCAACTCAACCGAATACTCGAAGCAACTTGACAAGCTAGCCAAATCTTTAGCAGAGAAAAGACCCCAAATCATCCTTCAACATGATAATCAGAAGTAGTAATCAGAATTATCATGCTGGATAGGCCATCATCTCCCATTCAAGTGAGTTTAGTTTAGAACGAGTCATCTTTGAAACATGCGGTCTAGCATTATCATGTTGAAGAATGATTTTTCTCCTTGGGGTCTTTTATTTGGCAATGGTTTAGCTGACTTGTCAAGTTGCTTCGAGTATTTGATTAAGTTGAGTATTTTTGTGCTATCCAAAAGCTCCCAGTAGATAGGCTCTTCCAAATCCCAGAACACCGAGAGCTTTCTGATTTCTGATTTCTGATTTCTGCTTTCCGAGACGTTGCCTTGGCATTATCCAGACTTACTTGAAGCAATTTCACTATCTGTCCTTGCTAATTTCTTATAAGTTCACAAGAAAATGGCAGTCCAGCTGGATAATGGCAGTCCAGCATCCAGCAATCCAGCTGGATAATGCCAAGTTGCTCGAAATTTTTCAAACCAACAAAAGGCTTTCTGCAAATGTTCTTAGCGCGCTGGACCTTACCTTAGCGTGCTGAAGTAGAGTTTCCTCGTCGGTAGTTTCCTCATATTCGCAAGAAGCGCTCTTATAGATACTTTTGAAGCGATCATTGAACGTCGTGGCAAATCGAGCGTCACCCTAAGTAATGTTGAATACTTGTTGTTGCTGGTATCCCCAGGGAATTTGTTCCTGCGGTTGAGCTCTTCTCGGGTTCAGTCCGAAATTCGTGCCATATGTCTGTCCGACAAAAGGGTGCTGCTCGAGGATCGGTTGCTAAAATTGGCAAATAGCAGTAGCAATGGAAAAGTATTAGGATTATCGATAGGATATCGATAAAATGTCAATTTTTAGTCAATAGTCACCTGCATCATTTGTGGAGAATTCTGTGGCCCAGCATATGGAAACTGGCTTTGGTAGGTCGATGGCTGGAAAATTATAAGATGGGTTTTGAAAATACTGGCACTCAGAGATCATTTTGCTACTTCGCTATGAATTTCAAGCAATACCGCGACCAGCTCAAAAAACTCGATGAGAAAATTAAGGAAAAGCGTTGCAAATTTGAAAAAGCGCATTCTCCAACACGACAACACCAGTCCAAGCAGACAACACAAGGCAAAGTTGACCCGCTCCACAATTCACGAGTTGAACTGGGAACTCTTACCCCACCCACCATATTAGCTTGACCTCAATCCTACAGATTATCATCTTTCAATCGGATCAATGCAACACGCCAGCACTTTCCGCACTTCCAAAAGCACTTCCAGCACTTCCAGCACTTCCAAAAGCACTTCCAAAATGAAGGCCTCAAAAAGTGGGCCTCAAAAGGCCTCAAGACTATTTTGACTCGAAACCAAAAACTCTCTATGAGAGAGAAATCCACCAATTGCCAGTAAAATGGGCAAAATTCATCTCAAATAATGGAGATTATTTCGATTAAACGGCTCTTTTGGTTGTCAATAAATATTGTTTTGAATTCGGGGTCAATACTTAGTTTACAACCTAATAAAGCTACAGTACCTGACTAGAAAATAAACGAATGAAAAGCGTTTACCTCATTAAAATGATTGGTGTTCCGGTTTTGTGGTCTTGATGTCAGAGGCCGGGCCATTGGATCCTCCATTGGTCTATTATCATTGAGCATCCGCGGTTGAGCCTTACCATCGTTCTGAAAATGTGAAACATGCACAAGTTTCTCACGATTAGATGTGTTTTAGTGATTAAATAAGTAATAAAATAAAAATCCTAGATGAAGAAGATTTTTTCTTTTTAGCTTTGTGTAAAAACAAACTTTTTGGGGTGACGAGAAAGCCATTAGCAGGTCAGTTTTACGGCAAACCTAATGAAATTTAAAGAAAAAACTTGTTTTTTATCAAACGAAGACGAAATGAAACAGCTAAAAAACTAAAAAAGGAAGTAAATAAGAAAGAAAAGCTTAAAAGAAAGAAAAGCTTAAAGAGAACTTGAACAAAACAATCGAAAAAACTTACGCCAGAAAAACTGACACAGTTAGAGTTTTGAGAATCAATTTTAGAAACGATACTCTAAGATTTACAACCGAAGTGATATGTCTTATCGCAAGAAAAGCCAAAAAGCCAAGAAAGGCAGTAAAAAAAAATTATCCTGACTCAGCTTTGGTTTTTTTTGATTGACATGGATCACATTTATACTACAGAAAGCCAAAAGGCTAAACAATTGCTATTTTCCTCGGAAATGAACCGCATCTCTTTTTAAACACCTATACGGTACACTAAAAACAATAAGCAAAAACAATAAGCACCGTAATACGGAACGGCGCGTCACGTAAGCGCTACTCCAGCTATAAAAGGCTACTCCAGGCTACTCCAGCTCCAGGCTCCAGGCTACTCCAGCTCCAAAAAATCAGTTTTTTCTTAAGAGCTCGCCGTATCTCTTCGAATAGAAATCTCGGTGGAAATTTCGGGGAAAAATTTTCTATTTTCTTTTGTTTTCGAGTGTTCTCGAACAAGTCTTAACCGGGAAAGGTTGTGGCGCTCAAGGTTGAATAGTTTTGCTCACGTTTCCACTTAGCGGACGTAGCTACCTTTCCCGGATAACGCCTCAAGCTCCTTAAAAATGTTTCTTCTTTAGATGTCAGTAGTTTGGCTTCGTGTCGACATGGAGCTGGATCGGCGTGAGCTTCCTTCGCGTGCTCGTGGTCTATGTCGCGGTGGCTCGGGAGAAAGCCTCTCTCGATTGCCTTCCTTCTCGTCAAGGGACCTCAACCAATAAGTGTTGAATACTGTTTGAAAGCCCTGAATCTCCTCTATACCATAGTGCTCCTCTATACCATACCATATGATTTTGAAAAAGAAAAAAGAACTAATAATCTAGCCGGCGGGATTGAATCCTTGAATCCGACTAAGATACAAAGCTCTTTGCCATGAAGCCATGGAGGCCATGGAAACCGAATGCAATACTGTTTTTAGTTTTTGTCAAGAAAGCGGCCGCAGAAAAACGCGTTTAAAATTTGGGCATCTACCCGGAAAATTGGGCTTCTGGAGGCTTTATCGGTCTTTATCACGGTCTTAAAAGGCCTTTATCACCGTCTTAAAAGGGCTTTATCTCGTTGGGTCATGCGTAGCTGAATGGCCTAGTGGTTAGTGTACTAGCGCAGCGAGCGATTGATCTCGGGTTCTCAATACCGATGCTTTTTTTTCGCAGTAATATTTCGCGGTAAGCGAAGAAGACCCCAAATTAGTTCTTATATTTCGTTTTAAATAAGAGAAATAGTTTTTCTAAGAATGACAAAAGCGCTGAAAGAGCTGCGAAACGTTGTAATTGAAAAATTTTGATTTTTCTATTTTTTCTATTTTTTCAATAGATTGTATTCTGTAAAATTGATAAAGAAAAGAAAATAAAATTTCTCAAAAAATTTTCACATTTTAATCTTCTGTGTTATAATATTTTGATAACAATAACTAGAAACACGAAAAAACTCAAATTTTATTCAAAAGTTGAAAACCAAAAAAAAAGTATCACAGCTAGGAGAAATGGAGTGAAAACAAAGGAAAAGATGCATAAAAAGATGCATAGAAAAGAAACGGGAAATTATCCAGGCTATAGGTGAGACGGTAAAAGGTTAGGAGACGGTAAAAGTTGAGGATACGGTAAAAGTGAACATCTTTTCGTATTTAGTTAATTGAATATTGGATTTGAAGGGATTTCCAAGATTGCACTAATTCCCATTCAAAAAGATTCCATCGAAATGCCCAGTGACTATTTGCAGTTTATGTTCATTCTATTTACAAAAGGCCCCAAAATTCCAAAAAACAAATTGTTTGACTATGCGAGAGAAACACTTGAATAGGGGATTTTAAAGTTATTTCAAAGTTGAAAAAGCTTTGCTCAAAAGTTTCAATTTTTCTTCTCATCCGAAGAGTTTGCCTCATGTTCGCTTTCCACCTGAAAAGTAGGATTGTAAGCTTTATTATTGTAAGTTTAGGACTTGTAAGCTGCTATAGCAATATTAGAAACTTGTATATTGACATAGCAAGCTCATGGATTCGAATTAGGACCGATTTTCACTAAAACCATTTCAAGGCGGTGAATGAAGCCTTATTTCCTTATAAAGAAGGCGAATTGCCTCGGGGCTCGGGGCTTATAAAGAAGGCTGGGGATCGAACCCGAGCAAAAGATTGAGGACTTGTTTTGGAAACAAGACTCTTGGCCACTACACCACAAGCTCACAATTTGGGGCAGTGAAAGATGCCTTATATCCATATAAAGAAGGCGAATCGATTGGTGATTTTCATTTTATTGAGTCTACCAATTGGAAGAATTGGAAGAGTTAGATTGGTTTTGATTTTATTTGATTCTAATTTTAATTTATTTAAAGTCTTAGTGAAGGAATACAGCTTTATGGGGAGTTTTCTTTTATCATTGGCTCAAATTCCTGACCTCATTAAGTAAATCGCCGATCTCTTTCTCCCATTGTTCATCACTTTTCCCCGTCTGCTCGACAACCATCTCGTAATCGGTCAAATCGGCCAATAATTCTTTTTCCCAATCCTCATCTGAAAAAGAAACTATAAGATGAATTGGATGTTAAATCGATTTAGAAACTTAATGAGAACTTCAAAACCTTTAATACCGTATTTACCGTATTACCGTATTCTCTAATAGTAGTGCACCCTGAGCGTCACCTAGCACAGATAACGTCAAGGATTCACTAGAGCTTCAAGATCAAGATCATCAACAGATGATAAAGATCGTCTACAGTTAAAAGCATTCATCCCGACCCCCTTTTTCCTGATCTCTTTGAATTCGGCTCTCTACGAAGCGCCTCGAGTAGCGGGCATTTTCTCATACGCCAACCTTTCCGTTTCCAACCGCTAACCTTCCGGGTAGCACAGATAACGTCAAGGATCCACTAGAGATCCACTAGAGATCCACTAGAGATTCACTAGAGATCCACTAGAGATCCACTAGAGATCCACTAGAGATCCACTAGAGATCCACTAGAGATCCACTAGAGATCCACTAGAGATCCACTAGAGATCCACTAGAGATCCACTAGAGATCCACTAGAGATCCACTAGAGATCCACTAGAGATCCACTAGAGATCCACTAGAGATTCACTAGAGATCCACTAGAGCTTCAAGCTTCAAGATCAAGACCATCTACAGATCATTTAAAGGTTTCGAGACTATTGGACTCTCTCAAAACTCTAAGGGGAGTCGATTCCAAATTCTAGCAGTTCTTATTGGAAAAGTGTTACCTATTCTTATTGGTAAACTTGATAATTTCAACTTAAAAGTTCTGTCTTTTGTCATGCCTCGTCAGCTGTCGTCTTTCAGCTATCCTTGAAAATCTTAAGTTGAAATAAAGTGCAGTTTTCTCATTATTACATTAGCTTTTACATGTTATTTTACTTTATTTTGTTATTGCTATTGTTATTGCTATCACAAACCAATTGGTGATGTGGGTGATGTGGATTCTTTCGTTTCTTTCGGTGATTTTCTTTTGCTTTCCTTTTCTTCAACAATTTCGTCGCTTTCTTTTTTGTCTGCTTCTTGCGAAGAGATTGGTGTCTCCTGGAAATGAAATGTTTAATCAAAAAATAGACTTTATTGTTGATAGATTTCATTTTTAACTAATTTTCTAAAGGACCAGCCAGACCAGACCAGGCCAGAATCTGTTTTTCTTCGAAAATCTCCTTTTTTTTCTTGCCAATTCCTTCACTTGTTGATTAGACTTTATTATTTTCACACAAAAGGCTTTTGAACTTGGCTTACCGGCAGGGATTTTGAAAATGTGTGTTTTTTTGGTTTGCTCTTGCCTGGCTTGAAATTTACCTGAATCAACGTTTCTTCTTGACTTTCTTCTTCTTTTCCTTCTTCTTCTTTTCCCTCTTCTTCTTTTCCTTTTTCTTTTCCCTCTTCTTCTTTCTTCTCCACTTTTTCCTCCTCAGAAATTGGATTATCCTCTTTCATTGCTTGTCTTATCAACGAAATCCGATAGAAATAGTTGATCCAAAAGCGTTTTTCAGTCACTCTGAAAAAATGTTTGCATTTCGATTTCGTTTCTTAGCCGATTTGGATTTTGTTTCTTAACCGATTCTTAACCGAACCGATAACCGATCTTAACCGATTTGGCTCCCTTTTCTGGCTATTTTGAGTAGTGCAAACTTTAAGCGTCATAACTTTTTTCAAATTCAATATTTCTTATTTCTCTTTTCTGCATTGAATAGAAGACAGTTTTGGCTATTGAGTGAATTCGAGCGGTTAAACATTAAAATCAAATGAAAACAAAAGAAGGGATCGAACCCGAGCAAAAGATTGAGGACTTGTTTTGGAAACAAGACTCTTAGCCACTACACCACAAGCTCACAATTTGGGGCAGTGAAAGATGCCTTATATCCATATAAAGAAGGCGAATCGATTGGTGATTTTCATTTTATTGAGTCTACCAATTGGAAGAATTGGAAGAATTGGAAGAATTGGAAGAATTGGAAGAATTGGAAGAATTGGAAGAATTGGAAGAATTGGAAGAATTGGAAGAATTGAAAGAATTGAAAGAATTTTATTTGATTTTATTTGATTCAGATTTTAATTTGTTTAAAATTTTAGAGAGGGAATAAAACTATTAGGTTGGCAACTTAATAATGACGCGTCACTACTTAACATGTTTTTTGTAATTTCAAGCGCCGTTTCTTCCCTCTTTTTTGCATATATACAAAGTAAAAGATGTCTACATAAATAACATTTAGTGCTCCAAATTTCATCATTTGCTTTTTGGCAAAAAAAGGAGGACAAAAAATTCCGCATTGTTCTACGATTGTTCTACGATTTTAAACAAGGAAAATCACCAGCTGAATCTCATCGCACGATCATCACTGTTTTTCGAGAGGAAAGTATACACATTCGTCAATGTCAACGATGGTTTCAAAGATTCCAAGGCGGCGATGAAAGCCTCGTAGACGAGCCACACCAAGGACATCCTCCAGAAGTGGTCGACGATGACTTGCTCGCCTTAATTGAAGATTGCCCAACACTCACCGTTCGTGAGTTGGCAGAAATATTTGAAGTATCCCATATGACAATCAAAAACTATTTACACAAACTTGGGAAAAGAATCGAGTTGGAAAATGGGCTCCTCACGAGCTGACCCAGAGCCACAAAATGGCGCCTCAATTTTGCTACAAAAATACAAATCAAAACGACTTTTTCACAGGGTTTTGACTTCTGACGAAACGTGGATCAACTACGAGAACGTTAAACGCAAAAATCGATGGCTATCTGCTGGGCAGACCCCTCAAACCACTCCCAAACCTGATGTCCATGGGAAGAAGATAATGCTCTGTTGCTGGTGGAACTTCAAGGGATTGGTACATTATGAAGTGCTGAAACCTGGCCAAACCGTCGATGCTGATCTTTATTCGAAGCAATTAATGAGAGTTAACGAGTCTCTGAAGAAATTGGGGCTCAAACCGGAGAGAGTCAGATTTTTACACGACAACGCAAAACCTCACACTGCAAGATCACTTATAAGAAAATCGAGGAACTTGGCTGGAAAGTTTTGCCCCACGCGTCTTATTCACCTGATCTGGCTCCTTCAGATTACTTTTTGTTTCGGTCAGTGAAGCACTTTTTGGAGGGAGAAAAGTTCGATGATCATGTTCAGGTCATAAAAGCAGTGAATGACTACTTCGCCTCAAAAACTCCCAAGTTCTTCGAGGATGGGATCCGGGATTTGCGCAGAAGATGGGAAGGAGTCATAGATACTAATGGAGAATACCTTTCGAATTGAAAGCTCTTCTTTTGTGTTTTTTTGAAATAAATGATTTGTTACATAAACGCGTCATTATTAAGTTGCCAACCTAATAGAAGACAGTTTTGGCTATTGAGTGATACTAAATAAAACTTGGTACAATCCACAGAAATTCCCCATACTTTAACTATGTACAGTACTGGACAATGAAATATCATATTTGAAAAACGATCGTCACCTTCGCGCGTCTGTAACTCCGTTGTCTTTGAGTTTAAACTATTAGTGTTATACATTTTCTGTAAGCTCTTTTCAAGGGCTACACAATGGTAATATTAATATTTAGAAATACGGTAAAGACAAGGGAGTTACAGAAGCGCGAAAGTGACGATCGTTTTTCAAATATGATATTTCATTGTCCAGTAGTGTAGCTTAAACCTAGTCATGTCGTTTTATCTACTTTATCTGTATACCTAAAGTATCTTTGTTCTGAAATCATAATCTAAACATATCTAATACTTAAACGATACTCTTTCTCAAAAGATCTGAATAGGATACACAAAGACGAATTTTTTAGAGCAGTTTCTTACTGAATAACTTTCTTCTTTAACTTTAAAAAATTTTGAAGTTATTTAAGCTGCTCGAGTGCTCGAGTGCTCAAGCTCGAGTTTCTTATCGTTGAGTGGATGAATCAAGCTTTGTTTAATCCTATTTAAAAGCCAAAAACTATCTCCTATTCAATGCAGAAAAGAGAAATAAGAAATATTGAATTCAAAAAAAGTTATGACGCTTAAATACGCTACTCAAAATACCCAAAAAAAAAGAGATTTCGACAAAATACTAGTTTTCTTTGATCTTTTATGAAACTTACTGTTTCGGGACCAATTGAAAGCGAACTTTTCCCAAATTCGGATCATATTCCAGCATTTTTTTTGCCATTGAAGCAATCTAGATTCATTTTTAGAAAGAATTTCTCTTTTTTCAAACCTCAAGCTCAGTAAATGGTAGAGTTGATGGAGCGTCACGGAGAAAAGTGCGCGTATCCTAATAATGAGTAAATTTTGGATTAATTCATTAAGCTATCAGCTAGTTTATACAATTTTATAAAATCTAAATCTTCTGAATTACTTTTGGGCTTTTTAAAACCTGCAAAAGTTTAGTTTGATTGGATTTTTTCGTCATCATTTCTTTGTGGTCTTGAACTTTTGTGGTGATTCGATCACTAACACTAAACTAGTACAGGCTGAAAATGGTGGCTGAAAATTACGTGCGCGCAGCATCTGACATAGTTTTAAACAATATATAAAGAATTATTACTCATCTTTTTGTGTTTTAATATTCTTTTTATCGTTGTCTATTAATTTTTTGTTAAAAAAGTTGTTTTCTAGGTCATGACAAAGACGTGCGCTAGTCGGAACACAATCGCACAGCTGGCGACGAGCGATCGTCGATGAAAAACTCGTCGATCGCATAGAGGCTTGGGGTGGCTCTGAGGATCGTCCAGAAGATCGTAAAGCAATGGAAAGATGAGGGGCATGTTCAGTCCAAGCCTGGAAGAGGAGGAGATCCATTCGGGTGTTAACGGTCCTCTTTCCTCCTCTTACGGGCTTGGACTGAACATGAAGACGCATGGGATCATCAAGAGGAGGATCGAGCGAAAAGACGATCGTAATTTGAACAAGATAGCAAAACAGCTTCAAATTTCGCGTTTCTCGGTTCAATCGATTGAGAAAAATGAGCTCGGACTTTGAAGTTATCGACTGTTAAACGGGCAAGTGCTCACCGATCAAGCCAAGCAAAACCGGAAGGAGAAATGCAAGAAATTACGAGCTTTTTTCAAGGTGCGGCGTATTGACGATGTTCTTTGGTCAAATGAGAAGATTTTCACCTTGGAAGTGGCTAAAAATTCACAAAATCACCGTCAACTTCTCAGTCCAGCTCTCAAGAGCACTCGCAAACGAAAAAGTCGTTATAAAAGGTCTGTTTCCAAAAAGTTTGATGGTTTGCGGTGGAATCAGTGCTTCGGGCAAGACCCCGTAGGTTTTTATCGACAAAAATGTGAAGATTAAAGCTAAAGTCTATCAAAAAGAGATTCTCGAGAAAGCTGTGGTGCCGTGGAAGAGGAGTCATCCTAATTTGACCCTTCAACAAGATTGGACGCCGGCCCACAGAGCCAAAACAACAATTCGCTTTCTCGAAACCAAAATTGAATCTTTTTTGACGAAGGATCAATGGCAGGCCATTGCCCGGATCCCAAACAGCCCGGATCTCAATCCGTTGGACTTTTCGGTTTGGGGTTTTATGGAAGAACAATTGAGAAATAGGAAAATCAACAATTTGCATGATTTACGTCGAGAATTGATCAAAATCTCGAACGACTTAGATGCAAATTATCTCCGCTGTACCGTCGATTCTGTAAAGAAGCGAATTGAAGCCTGTATCAAAGCGGATCTCCATCCGAAAATCGCCACTTCGAAAATTTCTTGTAATTATTAAATTCTTTTGTTACAACTATTATATAAATAAATATTTTTACATGTTCTTTGAAAGAAAATTAAATTATGGCGTTTTCTTTGGCGCACGTAATTTTCAGCCACCCTGTACAATCAATCACTTTCAATGAAATCTTTTCAGAGAAAGTCTAAGTTCTCAAATAGCTGATGATTTTGTGATTAGCTGATGATTTTGTGATTAGCTGATGACTTTAGATGATTAGATTGTTTTATAAAAGCTAACTAAAGACAAAGCAAGCATTTGCTTCTTGGCCGCATTTTGATCGGGCAAGTCTTCCCACGGAGCGGCTCCTAAAGTTTTTTCGTAAGATTTATAACTTTTCCATTTCCTTATATGCAAATTGATTACAGTAGGTTCCTTTCAAACAAATGCATTTTCTAAAGCGTGTCAAGTCTTGAAAATTACCGTAGGATCTAACTAGGGAACTGCTCCAACATACAAGGGAAGTTCGTCAAATTTACCAGCGGCTTTTAAAACGTCACCTAGCAAATCTAAACCAGTTTTTCGCGCCGATTCCGAATCTGTACTCAAATCTACCCAGGACACCCTTTTAGGCCTTTGAGGCCTTTGAGAAAAGCCAGGAAAAATCGTTTTAAAGTCAGCTAAAAAATCGTTCGCAAATAAGACACCGCCTTTAAGAGGGAAAGTTAAGGAAGGGCGATATATGGCCAAATGGTGTAGTGGTAGTGCGCTACGCCAACGTTTCTACCTCCCTGGTTCGAATCCGAGCGCAACTTTTCTTTTTCATTTTTTTGGTAAGTTGACGAACCTCCCTTGTTAGCATTGATTTGGGATATGGGGCCTAGGGCCGATATGAGGCCGAATTAGTCTTCCCCCAGACCATGACCGGATGGTGTAGCGGATAGTGTGCTCACACCTTGTCCTGTCCCTGGTTCGTGTGTGTCCCTGGTTCGAATCCCCTCACCCTCGGAACCTCTTTGCTTTTTTGTTCAATCATTAAAACCAATCCTTAAGTATTTTAAAGTGTCTATAAGCTACATAGAGCTTGCAGAAGCTAAATAGAGCTTGCAGAAGCTAAATAGAGCTTGCAGAAGCTAAATAGAGCTTGCAGAAGCTACATAGAGCTTGCAGAAGCTGAATAGAGCTTGCAGAAGCTAAATAGAGCTTGCAGAAGCTAAATAGAGCTTCCAGAAGCTAAATAGAGCTTCCAGAAGCTAAATAGAGCTTCTGGAAATAGCAGAATATGGCTCTTCTGGTCCTCTTTAAAAATGTACCATATTCAAGATTGTGAGCCTTATCTAGATCCTCAATCTCCATCTAATGTATCTACTATCTGATTTGATTCTGTTAAGGTTTAAAAATGATCTCAAAAGTAGATAGATTGGCTTAAAATTACAAGGATACGGTGGTTTTTTTCGAAAGTTGACACGTTTTAGCAAACGCCTTGCTCGAGAGGGATACGGTAACGGTAAAGTCGTTTTCGATCTTGATAGAACAACTCAAACAAACCGCTATCCAATTTCTTCGATGCGATTTCTTGTTGAAAAGCCTCTTGTTCTCGACTCAAATCACCCAATAATGTCTGAAAATTTTTTGAAGTTTTCCTTCATCAGAGTCTTTTTTTTTTACACTATCAACAACGGCTCCTTTCACGATTTCGAGTTGTTTTTGCGCCTCAATCGTCGTCCTTTTCGCAAAATCAAAAAGTTTATCTAAAGATTTGAAATTTGAATTGTTAGGAAAAGGTTGCGCAAAAACGCAAAGCAAAAAAACAACTTGTTAAAGCCAATCCTTGACTTTGAAGTTTTTCGGTGTCCAAGAAGCCGCTCTCTGTCGGTTTTGAATCAACCTTTAAAAAAAATGGCAAATTTACTGTTTATTTGTTTGTTTTTATTTGTTAGTTTGTCAATTTAAAGCTTGTAGAAGGAAAATAACAAAAGAAACGGCTAAAAGTATGCCATTGATCATATTAGGTATGTCGTAGCCGATTATGAATGAGTGGGTCTAGGAGCGTCCAACCATCAAGTATTTGGTATCATTCAACGCAGAATCATTGATAATTATGTTAAATTTTTGAAATTAGAAAGATTGGATAAAAAGTACACAAATTATGCGCTTCAAAGTTTTCTCTTGAACAAACAGTTTTTTGCTCTAATTTTTTTTTCTTTTCATCAAATCTTGCTAATTTTAAAAATTTAATATAATTATCAATGATTCTGCGTTGAATGATACTAAATACTTGATGATTGGACGCTCCTAGACCCACTCATTGATAATCGGCTACGGGGGTCCCACCGATTTTGAATGAAACGTTGTAGCGCCGGCAATTTTTAACCTAAACTCACAAATTTGGTACCAATCGACGCAGAATTCAATTCGCTACAAGATGATATAATATTGTCCTCATACATTAAAGGGTTGCTCTACTAGAGTTGCCTAAAAAGATATGCGAAAAAATTTCATTCATAATCGGCTACGACAGGTACATGCATAAGAAATGCGGATTTGAACATTTTCATAAATTTCCAATGATAGAAACATTCATCGATATCCTGATATCGATATCCTGATATCGATGAATGCTATATACTATTTGAAAGCTGTAAATCTCCTTTACAATATAGGCTAAAACGTGTTTCAATTGATCGAGGAATTGAAGAGATTTCGAGGGCGAAATGCGAGTGACCAAAAAGGAATCGAGTCACTTTAGGGACAAGTTTAGTGTGCTCAAAATAGAGTTAGCTTCCCAAAATTGAAGATTTAAAAAGGAAAGGATAACTATATATGAATTCATTTAAAAAAAGTCTAACGGAAATGCATTTACAGAAATTTAGGTAGAGCGTAGATTCAAAACCCTCAAAATTGTCAAAAAAAACCGGCTTTTTCACAAAAAAGAAAAATTATTGTAAAAATAAAGTTTTCCCATGAAATGATCCCAAGTCTTAATTATTTCGAATGATATTTTTGAATGATATTTTAGGGCCGTCATTTTCCACTATATAGTCAAATCCGAACTCTTTTGAAAGTGGGGGTTTGACTCTATTTTGACGACACTAAACTTGTCCCTAAAGTGACTCGATTCCTTTTTCTGGTCACTCGCATTCCGCCCTCGAAATTTCTTCAATGCTTCGATCAATTGAAACACGTTTTAGCCTATTTTGTAGAGGAGATTTACAACTTTCAAATAGTTTATAACATTCATCGATGTCAGGAAATCGATATCAGGATATCGATGAATGTTTCTATCGTTGAAAATTTATGAAAATGTTCAAATCCGTATTTCTTATGCATGTACCGAATAGAGTTGACTAATAGAATTGACTAATGCATGTATCTAATCGATTTTGATCATCTTTCTGAATATTAAATGAAACCTTTTTGAATTTAGCTAAGCTTTATCAAACATAACCCTATCAACTCTAAATTAAACCCAAATCCAACCGCAAATCATTTTACTAAGCCTTTCAAGATTTTGACAAAGAATTTCAAGATTTAGGTTTAGGATAGGTGTCAAAGTGATGGTCAAGTCTACTTGTAGCATTTATTGACACTTTCCCTTTCCCACCTTCTCCTCGATTTCCCTCTCCTCGATTTCCTTCTCCTCTCCATCTTTCTTCTCAACTTCTTTATTGTCAGCAGAGGCTTCATCAGAGCTCTTGACAGCACTAAAGTTTCTTTATAACTTTTTATATTATTCTTTTTTTCTTACAAGCCGAATTTATTGTTCTGTTCAGTTTAACAATTGAAATATCGAAAAATTTAAACAGACGTAAACGAAATTGGGTCTATTGGGGTCTATTGAATTCTTTTTATATTGTTAAAAAGAGAAGTTATGGGAGTTTCTAAAAATACTAATCAACCCGGCTCATCTTTATTTACAATCGTTGTATCGTGGATCGTATCGTATCTAATACGATTTTCTTGAAAGTCTACTCAAGTCTACCCAATTCTACTCAAGTTTACTCAATTCTACCCAAGTCTACTTCAGTCTACTCCAGTCTACTCCAGTCTACTCAATTCTACTTCAGTCTACTCAATTCTACTCCAGTCTACTTCAGTCTACTCAATTCTACTCCAGTCTACCCAGTCACTTCAGTCACCAATTCTACCCAGTCTACCCAGTCTACTTCAGTCTACTCAATTCTACTCCAGTCTACTTCAGTCTACTCAATTCTACTCCAGTCTACTCCAGTCTACTTCAGTCTACTCAATTCTACTCCAGTCTACTCCAGTCTACTTCAGTCTACTCAATTCTACTCCAGTCTACTCCAGTCTACTCCAGTCTACTTCAGTCTACTCAATTCTACTCCAGTCTACTCCAGTCTACTTCAGTCTACTCAATTCTACTCAAGTCTACCCCAGTCTACTCAAGTCTACTCCAGTCTACTCAATCCTACCCAATTCTACTCAAGTTTACTCAAGTCTACTCCAGTCTACTCAAGTCTACTCAAGTTTACTCAAGTTTACTCAATTCTACTCAAGTCTACTCCAGTCTACTCAATCCTACCCAATTCTACTCAAGTTTACTCAAGTCTACTCCAGTCTACTCAATTCTACTCAAGTCTACTCAAGTTTACTCAATTCTACCCAATTCTACTCAAGTCTACTCAATCCTACTCAATCCTACCAAATTCTACTCAAGTTTACTCAATTCTACCCAATTCTACTCAAGTCTACTCAATTCTACTCAATTCTACTCAAGTCCACTCAATCCTACCCAATTCTACTCAATTCTACTCCAGTCTATTCAATTCTATTCACCTGTCATTTTCATTCGGCGCTTCGAATGCTTTCATTGCCTCGGTCGCCTTTTTCTTCAAATCGTTCAAAAGCCAAGACATCTGGAAATGAAAATTGATTAGCAAATGTAAATTAATTTACAAATCGAAAATGCAACTGCAAATTAATCAATTGATTGCTTCAAGATCACTACGGTTGATATTAAAACACTGCAAAAGACAAATGCAAATGCAAATTAATAGCTCTGAATGCCAAAAACGAAATTTTTGCATTAAAATAACAGGAAATTGTGAAATCTAGTTATTGGGTCTAAATATAAAGCAAAAGAAGTTAAAATTTGAATTTTTGTTTTAGAAAAGTTGAACGAATAAGTCACGAGATGTCGTCGATTCTTTTCTGCAACCAAAAAAAACCCACAACGACTACGCGTCGCTTCTATGTGATGATGGCCTTATAAAGAGCTCATGAAAACAATTTCAATAAAAAAATAAACCTTTCGGTATAGAATTTCAATACTTTTTAACGAAAAATATCCATTAAACTGGCAAAATCTTTATCAAAAAGCTCACAAAGCATAGGAATCTTTGATTGGAATCAAGTAAAGCTATTTATCACAGAGAACCAAGGCAAAGGAAATAAATTAAAGGAAAAGCATTGGAAAACATTGGAAAACATTGAGAAAATTCGTTTGGCACTTGACTTAGGAGCAAAAAGGGTAAAGCGAAAAGTGAATGTAGTTAAAATAGCGCAATAATAGAAAACGTTCAAAGCAGCGGCAAAACAAAATCTACTATTCGACGCAGAATTGCACGCTGATTTCGAATCTGCTTTCCGTTTCTGCTAAAGAGCACTCTGTCAGAAGTTCTAAGCGTTTAAAGTTTTGTTAGAAATTTCGAAAATCAAGTTACAAGTTCATATCAAATCAAGTCTTCAGCAAATTCCCCAGGGACTGAAAATTGTGAGCCTGAGCCTGAGCGATTGATTGGAGCCTGAGCGATTGGAAGTAAGCTTGAATACAAGGCAATGCTCAGGCTCAGTCTCAGGCTCAGGCTCAGGCTCAGTCTCAGTCTCAGGCTCAGTGTCAGGCTCAGGCTCTTAGGTTCAAATCCGCAGTTCAACTTTTTCTTTTGCTTTTATTAGATTTGGATAGTTTAGGTGTTCTTTGTACGTTCGAAGCTCATCATAACAAAACTTTAAAAGCTTATAACTTCTGACGGAGTCCTCCTCAGCAAAAACGGAAAGCAGATTCGAAATCAGCGTTAAATTCTACGTCGAATAGTATATGGCTCATGGCTCATGGCTCATGCCATTTGCCCACAAAACCCGGTTGACATTCCCTTGTCAGTTAGTTGACTAAATATCTTTATAAAATCATTTTGGACGCTAATTTTATCTATGAAATATTAACTTTTTTAAAAACTGTTTCACCAATCATGTAGCCAAGAAAGAAAGGAGTTTTTTTTTGGTATAAAAATTGAACCAGCTTGGTTTCTTGGATTGTGAGAAATTTGACGGCGCTGTTTTGAAAGTTTTCTATTCGGCGTTGTTTTAACTACATCTCGAAAAACGTTAGAGAGAGGGATACTGTATCGAATCCCCGGCTAATCCGTTTTCTAAAAGGCATTTTGGAAAGCTACCGTACTCAAGCCGTCCCTTTACATTCGATCAGCCTAATTTTAATGTCATTCGATGAGAAATCACAATGCTCAGTCAATGCAATGATATAAAATTGTGATAAACTGGCGGTTTGGTTACGGTAGCTTTCTAAAAGAGGAGCCTTTTAGAAAGCTTTTTGGAAAGCGCATTTTAGTTTGAGATACGAAAATGCGCTTTCCTAAAAGGATCCTCTTTTATGCAAACTATAAACTTTGATTCATCTCATCGTTCAGCCTAGGGTTTTTTTTAAAAAGCCATAGCCAAGACAGATCAAGACAGATCAAGCCAGACAAAGCCAAAACCAAAAATTGGTTTGGCTTGACTTGGCTTAGCTTGGTCTTGGCTTGGTCTGACTTGCTCAGTCCAGCTCTGGCATAGATCTGGTCTTGACTTGACTTACAGACTTCTAGACCCTAACTAGGCCATATTTTCATTTTAAATTAGCATATTGAAGAGATTTACACAACAGAACATAGTGATATGTGTGAAACACTCAAAGCTATACTTATATTGGGATATCAGGAGACACAGGAACGGTGCGATCTGGAAGATTGAAAGGTACAAAGTAGCTCAAAGATTAAAAGGTACCGAGTAGTACTTGCTAAAGCTAAAAATAGCAAGATTGCTATTGGAAATTACTTTATTAAGCATAATATTGGGATTTGCGTTTTGCCAAATGGAGGACGAACTGAATTTTCTTGAAATAAATTTCTAGAAAATCCCAATTTCCTCACAGGACATTAGAACAAAAAAAGGATATTCAGTTACTGAATACTTTTTCTCTAGAATGTCGTATTTAATCTTAAAGAAATACTAGTTTTCAATAGAAGATCAGTCACTAATATTTGGGTTAACAAATAAGTATTTTCGTTCCTTTTCGTACTTCTGTTTAAAACCAACAAATCTCCCCAAATTAACCTATGATTTCTTCTATATAAAAAGTGTTTATTGTTCAAATTTCCATCTTTTTAAGTCAATTTCGGTTCATTTACAAGCAAATTCAAAAGTTAAAACACGAGTTTCTCGTAAAAATCTATAAAACGTCTACGAACAAAAGGCTACGGCAAGGGCTGAGTTAATTTCTCTGAAAATTTCTTTATATACCAAACTTTTTGTGCTCTAGCTTTTATCTATTGACACGAAGATCGATTTCCTTAGCTTAAAGTGTCTAAATCGCATCACCGAGCCGACTTTCTGACTACCTGATTTCAAGCTCCGCAAAAACATTCAAACATTCAAACACAAATGGGTTATTCAAACATAACCCATTTGTAAATCCGTTTTAATGTTATTTTGCAGGAAAATATGAAAATATGGGCTTTCTAATGAAATAAATCGTAGTTCAATTGGTGCATTTGTTGATTTTAAACAGAAATACGAAAAGGAACAAAAAGATTTTCTGAGCAGCCTTCTGGAAAGGAAAAGACAGTCTTATTTACCAACCTAATATTAAACCCAACTTCCCCAAGCAAACTTCTTTGCTTACTTAAGAAGAAACTTATTTCATAATTTATTTTGATAAACTTATTTCCATAAAGAATTTCAACTACTCCTTAAACCCAATAAACCTCCCAGATCGTAATTCAAAAAAATTCAACCCAAATTTCAGATTTTTATGGCAACTCTTAATTGAAACCAAGAAGAGGGTAAATGCGAAGAGAATTTATGGCTAAAGCTGAGACTAAGGAAAAGAAATTCTTGCTTAAAATTGGAATTTAAAATAAAACAAATTAGAACATATTGCTTCCGGCACGGGGAATCGTTTGTGAACTCGTTCCACGATGTGGTGGCACTGGCGGCGGTAATCGCACTTGCAATCGCTCGTTGCTTGGCTGAAAAAAAGAAACGATTGATTTTGTTGGAATAACTTCAACCCTTAGAAACTATTATATTCGTTGTTTTTGAAATTTCTATTATTACTTTCAAATTTCTATTCTAGTTATCGATTATTAGTCTTTTGACTAAAGTGTTTTCTAAAATTTAAGTTCTGATCAAGCTACCGGAATCCTTATATCTTTTAAGTGAAGATTACCGAATGAAGTATCCTAGGCCTGAGCCTGAGCCTAAGCCTGAGCCTGAGCCTAAGCCTAAACCTACGCCTAAGCCCAAGGAAAAAGTTACTGTAATCTATTTGTTAGAAAACAATGGGGAAAACGGTAACTGTTCTCTTATGCGCACTTTCGGAAGCACTTTGTTCAGGTGAAAACCTGTTCAGGCTACTAAATTGAGTTCAATTTTAAACTATTTATCCCTCAGTAGCCTCAGTAGCCTCAGTAGTAGAGTTAAATTTAAAAATCTACCATAATCCAATTATTAGAAAGAAATGAGGATTACGGTAACTGTTCTCCCAAGCGCACCTTCTAGAAAACGTCAACATTTCTAAATCTACAGCGTGCTTTACCATCTTAATAGCATAAGATAAAAATAACTTTCTCATTTAACGTCTCCACTTTAAAAAGTGTATAAAAATTTCAATCGTTATTTTGAAATATTTTCAATCATTATTCTGAAATAATCTTGACAAATCATTTCAAAGCCTTCGAACACAATTAACAGACAGACAGGAAAGTAAATAATCTGTCATAAAATTGAGCTTTAAACTTCAAAATTATAACAAATTTTCTAAAAATCACTAAAAAACTACCGTAATCAGATCAGTCAATTTTCAGCAAATTAGCTCAATTTTTTCATCTCATTTGATGAGGAATCACATCAATCACAAGGCTCATACCAAAATCCCGACTGAGCTAGGTGGCTAAAAAATGGTAACGGTAGTTTGCGTAAATGATGTCCTTTAGAAAACGGATTAGCCGAAAGGAAACCTTATGCCAAATTGAAGCTTGATTTCAGGATGCCATATTTTCTCTAATAGTATTGCACCCTGATTGTCGTTTAAATGACTCGAAATCTCAAAAACCGCTTATCAGAACCTATCGATGTGCGGGCGAAAAATGTAGCTGACGATGAGATCTTGTGGGGGATTTGAGTGTTGAGCTTCTGCAAAAAGCTTGGAAACCGTAAAATAGTCGCCAACTCGGCTCGGTGCGGTGCACTACTATTAGAGAAAATATGGTAACCAATAATGCTAAACTGAACTGATCTTGAAGCTTGAAGAAACAAAAAATTGCATTTAAAGTCTCAAACAAGACAGGACCGGTAAATCACCCTTTTCTCAGCTATATACCTCTTACCTTTAAATCTGCTACATAGACTAAATGATTATTTTTAAATTTAATCAATTTTTTCTCAATTACCTTGTTTGGTAAAGTGTTGAATGAGGCGGATGAGTGAAAAACGGCCACATCACGAGCATAATCGACCAGCGAATAGAGACATTGCTGTCGCGGGGTGATCGGTGGAGATGTGTCACGAAAGAAAACGTCCGCCCAACTCCACAATTGCTCTAAAATGCAGACAATATTATCGTAATACTTGGAAAGATCTTCTAATTGACTAAGAGAAGGAGGTTGACTAGTTGAATGTTCTGTTTGAGGGATTTCAATTTCATTTGGGTCATTTTTGTTTCATTTTTTTTCACTTTGTCTTTATGCAAGGTTTTGGTGGCTTAGTTTTGAGAGATTCAATCAAATCCAAAAAAGAAAAATCGAGCATTTAAGGTATCTTTGATGGATTTGAAGTTTTGAAAGGAATCGCATTTTATCTAGAAGTTTTCTTTTTTATAAGGACCAATCATTAAAATGATATATCTTCGTTGTTGCATTCGCTTTAAAGCGCAAACCCAGGATTTTCTCGGAAAGAGGCCACAAGTGAACACATTTGCATTTGAGTCGAATTGATCACGAGCTGATCCACACAATCAAAGCAAACTTTAGCAAAGCAAAGCGTACAAACCTCGAGCCTCCTGTCGAAGTGAGACAAGTTCTCGCAGATACGTCGTCAAATACTCGATCATCGCCACGCGAATCGGATCAAATTTCGCAACCTAATTCGATATTTTTGTCTCAAAGTAGGGTAATATTTCATGATTAATTTCTTCACGCAAAATTTGAACTTTATCAATTTCAAAACTCTCACCTCAGTCCATAAAAGCACGGCATTTGTGCAATGATGTAGACAAGCTTCTTTAGACTTTTGTGGAATTAATGATTCTAAAGATCATATTTAAAAAGTTCAGAATTAGGAATACCTGTGAGCGAGTCGAGAAGTCGAAGCAGGGTGCTGTACAAAGAGAAAGCGGTCACACCACGAATCGAGGCTGAAATTTGAGAAATTCGGATACTATCTTTTACAACCATTGTCAATTAAAACAAAATTTAAATTTTCTTCTTCACAAACTATGAAAAAATGGATTTCGAGTATCATTTTCTACAATTTTCTACCTAAAAAGAAAAATGCAAGAAAAAGAAATAACCGAGGACATAACCGGAAAGTAGCGTTCGAATTCATTGAAAAGTTTAGACCAATTAGACCCAAGTTGCAATGCTGACTATGCCCAAATCTTTGCGATCAATTCTTGCATTAAATTTGGCTGTATTTTTGCTACAATTCCAGCAAACTCCAGTCGAACCTGACCGACTCAAAAATTCCCCATTTTCAATCCAAATTGGTCAACTTTAGAGGTCTGAAATTCATATTAAGAAAATGAATCCTGGCCCAAAAAAGTCCCCCGATAGGTAAAACTATCTGAAAAATTCGAATTTGAAGTTAGATTTTTATAAGTTTTCCCAAAAAAGTTACATAGAGTCAAAAACATTGGACGCGTCTGTCAAAATTCGATTTGGCTATATTTCTTTACTATCATAAAAAGCCATCAATCTCAACGCGTTAATGCAAATATTCAAGTGTATTTACGTGTTTTTTTTTAAAGTTTAGAGTGACAAGAAGCAGCTAGTAAAGAAATATAGCCAAATCAAATTTTGACAGGCACGTCCAATGTTTTTGGCTCTATGTAACTTTTTTGTGCAAACTTTTTATAAAAATTCGACTTCAAATTCGGATTTTTCAGATAGTTTTACCTATTGGGCGACTTTTTTGGGCCAGGATCCATTTTCTTAATATGAATTTCAGACCTCTAAAATTGGCCAATTTGGATTGAAAATGGGCGTTGGTGCAAAACTTCTGTCCGCTACTGTACTTATCTACTTCACATCACTCCGTTTAAATATAAAAGTTACCGTAATCCTTTCCAAGATTACGGTAGCTGGGATTACGATAGCCGATCACGGTAGCTTTTAGGTTATTTTCTATTTAACTCATTAATCTTTAAGCCTCACTGAGATCTTGCGGAACATTGTTCTCGAGAGCCGTTCGAATAGCACCAAATAGTGAGTTGTCAACCATCTAGAAATGTTTTCATAAAGAAAAATCTTTTTTCAAAATACCTCTGTGAAATTGAGCTTTGTGTGTCCGATTTTGCGCAACGCGGAAACGAGACGATGGATTTCTTTTGGGACTCCATCCGGGCAATCGTCCAATACTTGGGCTGTTTCTCCCTGAAAGTGCTGATATTTTGTGCAAATCTATAATCGAATTCGAATCTATACTAGATATTTTTCTTTAAAACTATTTTTATACCCAGATCAACATCGATTCTACTTGATTTTCTCGCCGAAAATCGACTCTTTTTCTTGCCAATTCCTTCAGTTCTTTATTAAGAATTAACAAAAGACTCTGACAAAAGCTTCAGTTAAAGATACAACTATTTCTCAATTTAGATTTAGACTTAGACTTACTGTTATCTTCTAATTACAGTTTAGATTTAGGCTTCATTTAAAACATAACTTCAAAACATATGACTTACAAAATCGATGAGATTCTGCTCGGTTTGATTTCTGTGCAAAAGATGTTGAAGAGAAACACCGAACACTTTCGGAGTATATTTAGCAGTACAAATCAAGAAGTGATCTCTGAAAGTTGATTTTTAGTCAGCTTTTATTGATATGTTGCAATAGTTTAGACAAACAAAAAAAGCGCCACCAACCGTCCTTTCTCCAGTCTCATCACCAGAATATCTTGCAAGCTTTCCATTTTATTCTTTGAGAGCTCCCACGCGGATCCTTTATCAATGACGACCGTCAGTGAGATCTAAAGATTTCAATTGGAACGTTTTCAAAATTTTTTCAAACCTGGATTTCCTCATCGATTCGAAGTGCATATTTGATCGGTGTGACTTGAAGCCACCGGGCACAGATTCTTTCCTTGTTCGGAGGAGGGACAAAGCTGAAAAGAAAAGATGAAAAGATCGCTTATAAAAGCTTATAGTTAGCCTGAACATTGTGAAACATTTTTCAAAGGGTAAAAATAGACTTGTTTGGTGTACTGTTCTCAATAGACTCCCGGGTTTCTATTTGCTAGTGCTTCGTAGGTTGGTATTTATTCTTAGAACGATTAGGGTCACCCAAGCATGGTCTGCGGACCGGATTTTAGATTTTAGAAAACAAGTTATGCTCGCTAAAAAGTGGATGAAAGAACAATAGTGAATGTAAAATGGATTTTTAGGCACAAATTAGCAAACGAAACTTGTTTCCTAAAACATGACATCCGGTCCACAAACCACGCTTAGGGTCATCTACCTCTCTATATTGGGTCGGTGGGTATGAAATATCGCTATTTTTCTGATTGATCCCTAAACTCGCAAACAAAACAAAGGTGGGGGCTGTTGCGTGAAACTGATAAAGTCAAGAACACTTTCCCAATGACAATGAAACCAGGTTTCCTCACTTTCGATTATTTCGAAATTTTGGCAACTCTTGCCGTGGCTATTGATAATCTGCCACCTGAAAATCTGCGACACGTTATGTTGTACAAATTTCTACAAGGACATAAGGGGGTAAGGGGTTACGGTAGTAAGATTGCAACTTAAGCGCCTATCGGTATCCGGGATTGAAAGCTATTATTAGAGGTGTACTCAAGTTGATACGATACGATATTTTCATTTTTCTTTACCTCAAGTTCACCCTCGCCTTTCCAGTGTTCTTGATCGTGATCGTTCGACAATTCGGCTCCAAGTAGGCAACCTCGCCAAAATCAAGCTGAAATTTTCTATTAGGTAAAGTTTAGGGTTAAAATTCGATCTTATAGAAGATCTTGAAAGTTCCCGAACCTCAGAGGCTGAGAGCGAGATTTGCGGCAAAAGCTCATTCGCTCGTCGATCAGCTTCCCGAATCGCGTCCTCATAAAGTCTAAATTTGTTATTTTTCTCTGCAGTTTTATAAACTACTACATAATCTATCATCCACAAAAAATCACCTATCAGCTTTTTGTTGGTCAATTTTTCGCAATCGTAACGCAAAAAAGGCTCTAACGGGTTTGTGATCCGAGATGACCACAGCTTCGAGGGACTCGTACCTAAAGCAGATTATCAGCAAAAAAAAAGCAAAAAAAGCATATTGATATATTGATAAAAGCATATTGATATTTTCGAATAAATAATACTCACGAGAGTTGCCGAATGTGTGTATCGGCGTCAAGTTTCCGCCAAAGGATTCGATCACACCACGCGGGCACTCTCGCCTGAATTTAGAGTGTTCGATAAGAGTGTCAAATATTTTTATTGCTTTTTTACACAAACCAACTTGTCGATTATATCTTCCCATTGAATCAAGTCGGTTATGTTCCCCCAAATTAATTGATTTACTATTATAAATGTAGATTTTCGAAGCTATGAATATCATAAATATTCTAATAGAAGAACCCAAGAGCTCTTTATGTACCAGACTTACAGTAATGTCAAGTTGAAAGGTCAAAAAACCTAATTAAAATTCATTTTCTTAAGCTTTTATAAAAAGGTAAACCAAGATAAAGCCAACAATCGGCTTAGCTTTGGCCTGGGTGTTTCGGTTCAGCTCTAGCCTGACCAAAAGTGTCTCTGTTCAATGAATGCTTTCATCTTGATGATTAATCAAACTTCTAATAATCCTTCTAAGAATAAGAATCTTCACTTTTTCACTGCTATCCCATTGACATGTTCCAACGTCGAATTTGTAAGTTGGTCGAAATTTTGGAGGTGTTTCTTCAAAACTGGCAAACACGCGTCCTTTCGCTTTCTCGATGTAAAGCTGAAAGTTGAAATTTAGAAATGATCAAAATTTTAGACTTGGCTAAAATTCTAACTATGCTAAGTAAAACCAGAAACAATCCGTAAACTTGAATTGAGAGTTTTGGAATATCCAGACTCAGAAAATAACCTGTCAGTTCTTGGTTTAATGTTTTAAATTTTGCTCTATAACGAAAACCTGATCATATTGAAAAAGTTGATGCGCTTGTTTTGTCTGAGCGATTGCACGAATTTCATCGCTCGTGTATGGAGCCTAAAGGATTCACTTTTTCAGTTTTACAAATTCGCACACCTCGTTAATCAGCCGATAATTGAGATCGCCAAACCAGAAAATCGCGTCATGAGCCCAAATATTTGCGTCTGTCGAACCAAACGTTAGATTTGTAATATCTCTGAAAAGTTTAGCTCTTGAGCAATAGTATAGTAGCCAGCTGAGTACTACGGTAGCTTTTAACTAGCAAATCGGTTACCGATTTTGTTCTCGCAAGTTAGCGCGTTTTATAAAAGTTAGAAATTTTGGTAAAAGCTCTCGTAATCTTTCCATCAGTTTTTGTTCAATTTACGTAATTATGATCTCATTTGATGAGGGATCAAAATTCAGTTAAACGGTCAAAATCTAAAGGAAAGATACGGTAGCTTTCCAAAATGGTTCAATTTTTAGAAAACGCATTACTCGAAAGGGATTACTTTTCATGTACGTAGTCTTAGCAAAAAATAGCAAAAAAAACTACTATACCCAACCTGAAATCCTGATTCCTCCTTTCCAATTCCCCATTCCCAGCAGCCAAGTGACAATTGATGAAACAAATGAGCGAATCGTTAATCTTCACCGAGATCCCGGTTCCACCCTGAATGTTTGTTTCAAAAAAAAAAAATTGATATCTTGCCCACCTTGTTCCCCAATTTCGTTCCCATCACCGAGATCCCCGTGGCGATCAGATTCGACTTTTCCTCGGTGATTTGCACATTACACTTCGTCAATTTGAACATCACAATGAGAATTCCGACTAGTCGATGAGAGCGAACCTGAAGAATGAGAAAGATAAGCTGAATCAGTTTTGAAAAACCCAAAGAACAGGACGGAGATAACAGAAAAGTACCTGTTAGTCTGATTCTTTGCCTGAACACATTCCTCACCTTAATATAATCATCGGGATTCGGGAGTGACTGTCGTATGCATTCAATCCATTCGATCTCTTTTTTCATGTTGTCGATGATGTGAGTGCCGATCGATAGATCCATTTCTTGCAATCTGAAATCGGTTCGCGTCTTGGTGCTAGTTTTATAGCTTCCATAAGTTGATTTACAACTTTAGTATGTAAAACTTTTGTTATGTTCTTGCTACGAAAGGTTACCCGACAATGTAGAAATCGGCTCGATTGTCACTCGGGAACCATCCCAAAATATTGGGTGGAGCTGATCGACCATTCACGTTGAAGGTCGAAACGCAAACGCTTACTTCGGAATAAGTGCAGTACCTAAAATCACGGTTTATTTTAATATTCTATCTTTAAAGGATGCTGTAAACGCAAACGAGATCGAACTCCCGATCCTTGAATGCTAGCCAAGCAAGCGACAACTCACAATCAGTCAACCAGGTGCAAGCACACCAAATAACTAGAACTAGAAATTTACAGTTATTTTTTAAACTCCATAAATTACAAATTACAATTTTACAAAGAAAAAAGAAAAAACCCTTTAAATTACAAAGCTCGCTTACAAATTAGATCGCTAAAAGCATCGAATAAAAGTCTACTTTAATTCTGAATTTCAAATTTGCTGATTCTGATTGCGTACTTTTTTTCACTTAACATAATGGTACAATAATGGTTACAATTTTTGAGATAAATTCTAATAGTAAGTCAAGTTCCTTTATCCAAATCCTCTAAAGTCTTTCACGTACTTCTCTTGCCACGAGCGCATAACTTCATCAATGACATTATCCCGTCCCGGTACATATCCACCCTTTCGGCCAGGACCCGCCATGTAAAACGTCATCGAGGGCCAGAATACCCTGAAATAGAAAGATGAAAACTATAAAAACCGTGGGCCATTTTAAGGAGCGTCAGAAGCCAAGCTTAGATCAAGCATCTGGACTTGACTGATCTGGACCCAGACCCAGATCTAGCAAAATTTACTAGTTTCACCCAAAATTCACAATCTTGGCGGAATAGCTTCTTTAAAATTTAAAATTTTTGCTAGCTGTTTGTTTTTTTTGAAACTAGATGCAATTCTGCGTTTGTACATCTAAAAATTATTTTGACTGGATGACAGACTAGTAACCAAAATAATCCTAAACATTGATCACCCACTTTCCAGCTTTTCTGGCCGATCTATTATCCAGTCAAATTAAATTTTATCTGTTCAAACGCAGAATTGCATCTAGTTTCAAAAAAACAAACACTATAACATACAGCTAACACCGAAACTTCGCAAAACTCAAGTGTAATATTGTAAAAATTAGGCTTAGAGAGATTATACACATTTTATAGAATCAGGATAAAAGCCAGACCCTAGTCTGGGTCTTTTAAATGTTTAAATAGGGATTTTCTCTTTTGAAAAATGCCCAATACCTACAATTAGCCATCAATTTACACCACTTTTCACAACTTTAAAAATTGACGAGTAGAAAATTTCAAAAAATATCATTGCTCTCACACATTCAATTTTTTTATGGACTTTTAAAACAAGCAGACAGTTTATTTCGGCTACACAAAATGGCAGAACGATGAACAAAGTTAACGAATGAGACCAATCGGGACGAAAAAAAGATAATGAGAGATTAATGTATATTTGACATATTTTGAAAATATTTGAAAAATAAAGACAAAATAATTGGATTAGCAACCATTGAGAATAAATGATAAATTAAAGACTGAAGAGATTGTTTTCAAAAGCGATTCGGCGTTGAGTCGGGGAAGAGTTCGACGTAGCGACTGCCTGGAAATGGAGAAGAGTTTTGTGTGTTATTGTAAGTTTAAAGCCGTAATGAATTTTGGATTTCAATTGGTACAATCAAACCCAGACTCAATTTTATCATAATATTGTTCAGAGACAATTTCATTAACCGCTGCAGTTAACTCATTGACGGTAACTGCTAACAATAGGAAACCCTTACGGATAACTTACTGGATGACTTATGAGTACAAATGAGTAGAATGTGTTCCTCTCAAATAAATAATTATTTGAATAAAGCGTCAAATAAATGTCAAATACGGCGTTTTAAAAAAGCCTGTAAAATTTTGATGCGAATTGCGAACTAGTGAGTTTTCATTTTGCACATTTCCGAATAAGATATTCAGTTAAACGACTGAATAGCTTTCGTGGCAGCTGTAGATAAAGCGCTCCTCAAGATTTTTTGCCATTTTTATTGTTAAATAATATGCAAAGTGTCAACTCGTTTTTAAAGTCTTTTATTATTTATTCCGCAGAAAGTTCTCAGTAATTTTGTACTAGCTTTCAAGAGGAGATTCAGGGCTATCGAATGACTATGATAGTTTAGTTTATCTTTGAATTTCCATCAAATTATCCGTAAAACAATGACGACTAAGTGACTGTACGTCCAAAATACCGTCGTCGCGAATGCGTTCATGCAAAATTGTACAAGGACTGTGTTGAGATCAGGCTTACAGGCGGAAAATAGAATATCTTTTAATTTTGAGTGAAAAAGTCAACAAATGGGACAGCTACGTTTTTCCGCAATTTTTTTTCCGCTTTTTCCTTCGCAGTGCGTGGCTGCCTCACTCGTTGGGTTTTGCTTTGAAAATCAAAAGATATTAAATTTTCCGCTTACAAGCCTAGTTGAGATGAAATTTGCCCATCAATCAAACTCACCCATATATTCCTTGTCCTTCGAAAGTGCTTGATCGTACGCTAAACGCGTGGAGAACTCGACTCTCGCCTCGCCAGCCGCTCGACCATTCGACTCGAACAAAATCTCGACGAAGCTCGGGCGATTCTCTCCGAAAAACTAAATAACTTTTTTAACGAAGACACAGACTTTTATTTGTTCTTTCGAGAAAATGAGATACCGTTTACCGGGAAAATGAGATACAAGAGAAACTATAACTCAAACTTGCAAGACTATTGTATTATTTTGCACTGAATTTCTCAAGGGATTGTTTTAAACATGTCCTAGATTTTGTTATCCATACTGTTATCAGGTCAAGTCAGTGTTCGGTTAGAAACCAGGCTCAGTCCTAGTCCAGGCCTGACATTTCTTTGGAAATACCCTGCCTGGTATTACAGGGTGATCGCGAATTATAGCGACTCACTTCTGAGGGTCTAGCTCAGCGAGAGCTCAATGAATCCGTATGAAATTTTTGGATTTCATACAGAATTTCTCCAAAAATTTCAAACGGATTCATTGAGTTCTCGCTGAGCTAGACCCTCAGAAGTGAGTCGCTAGAATTCGCGGTCACCCTGTACATTTTAAGACAATTCGCATTTAGTACAGATTATGCGTCGCAGTATCATTTTGCATCACGCCTAACTTACACGATAGATGTCCTCTTCTTCGGCTTTGAACGGAATCCCGCGCATCTTCAGCACATAACGCCGATTTCCACCGCCGAACAAGCTGAAACGGGATAAGCTTTATATTCAGTTTAGAGTGTGTTTTCTAAAAAATGGGTAATTTGGGAAAGCTACCGTCATTTTGCCTGCAGATTTCTCACTTAATTTTGATCTCATTTTATCTCTCATCAAATGGGATCATAATCAAGTGAAGCAGGCAAAATCTGGAGATAAGGATTACGGTAGTTTTCCCCGAATTGCCCACGTTTCAGAAAACAAATAGGAATACACTCTAAATTCTAAAATTGTATAAATACTGACCTTTTCATATCACCGGCTCGCCAGTTCTCGAAAAGTGGACGCGGTCCCTCGTTGAAGCTCATTCCTCCATCATACGAATCTAGAAATTCTCCATTTACACCATTTCTTTCATTTTCCCTCTCGATCTATTAGGTTGAGTACTGCCTTTCACTCATTTTCTCAAATTCGTTTTCTAATTGAATCTCAAGTCTCAAAGTCTCAAACTACCAAATGAAATACGGCCAATTCCACTCCAATCTTTTTGATTTTGATATCAATTGACGCAGAATTTAATTTTCTATCGATTGAAATCCGAGAAAAAAGATTGGAGTGAAATTGGCCAAGATATGGCAACTATTCAATTGGGTGTCAATTGGACAACTATTCACATTTACACCGAAAATTCTCAGGTCTAAAAGCAACCATCTGGTATTTTAGACTCGTTCATTTAGATAATGAAATGAAGAGCGGCAAGACTTAATACTCAACCCAATAGAACCAAAGATATTCTTTAAATTGCCCTCTCGATATAACTCCCACCTTTTGAATAGGACGCCCACGGATCCCCCCTTCTTAAGTCCCCGGCGTATGCCTCTCTATCGGCGTATCCAAAGCCATCGTAACCTCCCGACCAGACACTACCACCGACGCCGCCACGCGATCCACCGTATCCCTCGGGGTAGTCAAAGGCTTGCCCGGAGCCTCCACCCCAAGCGCTGCCACCATTTCCGTAACCACCCGGGCGCTCATATCGCTCATAGGGCATGGGACGGCCTCGAGCCCCTCCTCCACCGTAACGACTTTGCGCGTAGTAGTCCTCTCTCGGCTCGCCCCGCATTCGCATCATTGGTCCGCCCGAACCACCGCTCCGTCCGCCCCAACCCTCATCCGCGGGCACCCACCCCACCGCGGTCGCCATTTCCTCGCGCGACGACTTGAACACCTCGATGTACCTAGAATTAGAGCGAAACTCGACTAATCCCTTAAATTCCCATGCACAAAGAAATTTAGATCATCGCTTTAAAAGGTGGCCCGAAATTTCTAAAGGTGACAAACCCCAGGGTTTTTCAAGGTTTGCTTTCCGAAAATATTGGCCCAAAGCTTTTACCAACCTTACTTCAAGGATTAAATTTCAAAGAAATTGTGAAAAAGAACAAGAAATTGTGACTTACCGATGTTTCATGTGATTACGATCGCGTTTCAACGCTTCTTCGGCATTCGCCCGCTCGGCAAACACCACGTACGCCTCGCCGGCCGTTTTCCCGGTTTTGTTCGATGGGAAGAGGATACCGTCCTGGAAATTTGGAATTTAAAGAATGTTTGCTGTTATAGTAGTTGGGGGCGACAGAATTTTTTTCGCCAAATGAGCTGATTTTTTGCACCCAGGGGTTTTTTGACTATGCTGAGTCGTTTAGTGATGTTTTCACACAACATTTCGCAAATTCTAACAACACTCAAGACTACTTACAGAACTAGCGTCATTGAAAAAACGAATTTCTCGTTGTCTCATGCCCTCGTTGGCAACTGGTTGCCATTTTGTTGTTGTTATTTGATATAAACATTGTTAAAAGTTGCGAGATTTTGTTGTGAGAAACCATCACTAATCGATTCAGCATAGTCAAAAACCCCTGGGTGCAAAAAAATAGCTCATTTGGCAAAAAAATGTTGTCTGAATTATCTAAACTTTTGACGAGTGGTGAAAGAATTTTGGATATCAGTGATCAAAGTCAATCGAATATTTTGAAAACTATTTTTTCAAAGCTCACCTGAACGATCGGCAATGGATCGAAGAATTCTTTGATGTCGCTCGGCTCGACGGCAAATGGAAGACCGCGAAGACGGACAACGTAATCTCCTGAACAAAAAAAATACATTTACTCATACGAATAATGTGGTACAAATAATACACAAACACACGCCCTAGCACTCAACCTCTAAGCCCTAAATGTAGGGAAGACAAAAAAAAACCCATATATATGGGACAAAAGAACCAATAATCAATATTCTGAATCCTTGACCTCCCGACTAAGATAAGGACTCTTAGCCAGTCAGTCATGGTGGCGAACGAGCAGTTGAGTGAGTAAATTTGTTTTTAAAAAAATCTTTTTCGTTGTTGAATGCTGCACTATACCTTACTACACTTAGAAATTAAAAATTTCTGGTACTTTGGTGGTTGGGAGGGGCCACTTTTGGCTTCCTTAGTCGAATCTAGTGTTTTGAGCGGTTCGTGCCGATACTTTTCTTCTATTCTGAAGAAAGAGATACATGCTGAAGCGATTGGTGCTAATTTAAGCACGTTTTTGATAATCCTATTCGATGATTTACCCTGTGTTCTAGCATGCTGTAAAATTGGTGGTTAAAATAACCACCAAACGTTATCCCAAAGCTGATTACACTTGGAAAGCTGCAAAATTAACCTGAAACATGTCGGAAATACTCTAAAATTAGCACCAATCGCTTCAGTAAATATAATTATCCCGGAATAGAAGAAAAGTATCGACACGAACCGCTATATTCGACGAAGCAAGCCAAAAGTGGCCCCTCCTAACCGCCAAAGCATCCTTTTTGAAAACATTAGTTAAAATACCTGGTGGAATGTATGGCGGGAAAGTGCTTCGACGCTCGCTCGACCCCCACCCACTGCCGCTTCTCTCATTTCGATCAATGATTTCTTTGTCTTGAGAAGTACCAGCGAACACCTCGATGTAACTGAAAAACTAGTTGTTTAGTAGGAAAATGAATTCAATTAATCAATTAAAAGCTATGCATAACAATAACAATCCAAATTTACATTTAAGTGTAAAATAGATCCCAAAAACTTTGAGCAGTGAGTTTCTAAGGTTTAATACACCTATTGATTGTTGCTTGATTGTCATTTTTTTCAACAACCAAGATTACTTCTATCTCTTCCATAGTTAGTAACTAACTTCCTTATCTAACACCAACCCTTTTCTAAAACGATTTGACACGAAACCAAAGACAAAGTAACAAGAAGATCGCGCCGTGGCAGATTATTTAGCTTTACGTTTTAGTTAAAAGGAGTTGGCTAAGTTGGGTTTATACGGATATGTGAACGGATTCAAAACAATGGAGTAGAAGGAGCGGAAAAGAAAACGAAATAAAACCTTAGAATTTTAAACAACAAACTGGGCAAACTATTGCCAAAAAATATAAAAAGGAGGGAACGAACGAGGGGAGAGAGTACTTTAAAAACGCGCTACAAAAACGATAGATTCTACGAAGGGGGAAGAAAACTTAAAAGAAAACTCGGCAGAAAAGCTGGACAAAGTCCCCGATTCCATCATGAAATAAAGTAAAATGAACAGAATGGCAAGAGGGGTATTTCTGTGCGGCGTACGGTAGCGCATCCAGGCTTTAGAAAGCGCGCTGCGCCGCTTTTGCGCCAGTTTGTTTAAACCGCAATAGGAACCCAACTCCATCACTCACCGAGATCCCATATTCTCGCGATCCTTTTTCAGCGCCAAATCGTATGAGGATTGTGTCTTGAAAATGATGAACCCTTCACCGGTTGGGCGTCCATCTCGGCCATTTGGAATGCACACACTTTCGATGTCTCGATCTAGAATGAGGAAATTAAGTTGAGTGGACACGTTTTACGTTTAGTTTTGTTTTTTATCGACTCCTATACGACTCCTATACTATACTCCTATACTCCTAAATCGACTCTTATAAAATCGACTCTTTTAAATCAAAATCTCTGAACAAACCTCCAATCCATTCTTTCAGCTGAGCCTCCGTGCACGCAAACGGCAACCCTCGACAGCGAACAATGTATTCTTGAACCATTTTCTGAAAATGCGCATGTTCATTATTTCGTTTGACACTTTTTAAAGTGCGTAATAGATGCAAAAATTTGACAATTTAATGTAAAACAAGAAAGAAAATTTGTAAGCGATTTGGAATTGTAAGCGTAAAAATTCTAAGCGATTAAAGCATAAGATTAAAGTCTAAAATGGACAAAACAAGGAAAACAAGGCACACGACAAGGCAGGACAAGCTATCCAATAAAAATTGAGTATCTCATGTTGGAGACGAGATGATGAAATGAGATTTTCTATGGATGGAATATCGTATTTCCTCTAATAGTAGTGGACCTTCTCGAGCCGAGTTGGCGACTATTTTACGATTTCCAAGCTTTTGCAGAAGATCAACATTTTGATCCCCTAAAAGGGGGTTCCATCCATCGAAATCTCAGCTACATTTTCCGATCCCACATCGATAGGTTCTGATCAGCACTCTTCGAGATTTCGAGGAATTTAGGTGACGCTCCGGGGAGGAAATAAAAAAGGAAATAAAAAAGGGAAATAAAAAAGGAAATAAAAAAGGGAAATAAAAAACTATTAGAGGAAATACGGTAGTTGGAAGTTGTGAGGTACACGTACAGATTAATACAATTAACTGGGAAATTAGTCATACGGAATTGTCCAGCTCTGGCCAAATCGATCAATCAATCGGCCAATCGATTGGAAATTAATTTCCAAATTTTCGTGACAATTAAACGGTCAGTTTTCAAGAAACAATGAATTTTATCTGTTTAATCAACTTGAGGAATTTTTAATTTCTTAAATCTTTTTACAGCTACACTACCGGATTCAAAGATTCAAAGATTCAAAGCTTTTAAAGGACAATGCGGAAAAAGTTGATGGAAAAGGATTTCTTTTGTTTAGACTTTACCCTTTAACTCCTAATAAACAATGCTTATAAATTATCAGAAAAAAAAATCGATTCAATGCAGAACAAGGATTGCAAGATAAACGTGCAAGAGGATTTGACCGCGTCGAGCGTCGCGTCGCTAGGAATTTGAAACTTTCGCCTCGAGGTACGGTAGAAAGGGCAAAGGGTAAGTGTTAGGGGTTATCCTTTGCCGTAAAAGCCGTGTCGATCGGGTAATATGATGTTCATAGAATTGTGGATGAAGATCTCAATTTCGATGTTGCTTTTGATTGAAACTTTGGTCAGGTGATCTTTCACTTCATCAGGCCATTGGGCTCATCGGGCTTCATCGGACATCTTGACAATGTGAAGGCCTACTCATGACTTCAAGAACAGCAACACCTACCAAGCGCTGTACATCCAGGGTGTACCAGAATTATTGCAATCAACGTTTTTTAAAGGATTGAAACCAATAAAAGAGAAATCAACTCAAAAACTTTTCCAATTGATTTTTAAAGATATAATTATTAGGTTATTGGGTTTTGAATGCGAATTTTTCGCAAAAATATTTTTTCCAAGAGAACGAAGCTATTAAAACTAGTCTGGTTTGTACCATTAGAAAGGTAAATCTGTGTTCTAAATTGGGCTTTTCAGTGCTTTTGAAATGCCCCAATGCGCCAAGTCTTTCTCTGTCGAATGGTACAAAAACTATTTAAATTGAGAGCCCAACCCCAAGATATTTGAGCTCAAAGTTAGATTGCCAATGGCAAAAGGGACGGGGCGCGTATAAAAGGCGGCACATGCTCTGCCCCCTTCGCCATTGGCACAGAGATACACTAAGTGTATCTTTTTGGAAATTTGGCTATAAGCCTAATTTTTGATTCTCTACAACTTTTCTATTAACACCAAAATGGGTTTCTTTTGAAGAAAGTGCTCAAACTGGGACATCTCCAGTCCTCCATTTTTGAGTCTCACACTTGTCTCACACACAAACCAAAATCAGAAGAGTTAGGGGTGATCATGCTACAGTGCTAAGGCACCTTCATACCCTTGGATTTAAATCGAAACTTGGGGCTTGGGTGCCCCATGACCTCAATAACCCCCAGAAGTGGCAGCGCGCCTCGATCAGTGCCGTCCATCTCTTACGATACGAAAGGAAATCCTTTCTTCCTCGAATTGTGACAGGAGATGAGAAATGGGTTTTATCTATGAACTTTCAGAGGAAGTGGCAATGGGTGGAGCCAGCGAGAAACCCGAAAGTGACCCTAAGCCCGATTTGCACCAGAAGAAGTTTATGCTCTCCGTTTTCTGGGATATGGAGGGAGTGGTGTACTGGAAGTTGCTGGATAGCAAGGCGACCGTTAATGCAATCAAATACAGTGAACAGTTGGGAAAGGTGAATGAATCCCTGAAGAAGAATAGGGCCTCCAAGTCAAAGATCGTTCTCATCCACGACAACGCGCGCCCTCATGTTGCAAAACTGACTCGCTCTAAAATAAATAGCCTTGTTTGGAAACTTTTGGCGCATTCCCGATACAGTCCAGCTCCTTTTGATTACTATTTGTTCCGGATCATGAGTAATGAGCTTGCGAGAGAACACTTCGATTCGGAAGAAGCAGTCAAAAATTGGCTTTGAAAGTTTTTCGATTCAAAACCAAAATCCTACCACGAAAGAGGAATCCGCAAATTGCCTGTAAAATGGGCAGAAGTCGTCAATAATAATGGAAATTATTTGGAATGAATTGACGGTTTTATGTTGAATAAATTTTAGTTCAAAGTCCCACAGTTTTCAATTCACCAACCCAATACTTGATTTCATTTATCTGTACACTTTTTCTTATAGTTTTATTCAATTCAATTTGATTTGCCCCTTTATTTCGTATACTGAATAAAGTTTTAATATATTTTTTTAAAAATCCCACCATTTTGCGTAACTTTTTCCGCCTTATTTGAGTAACGCAAGATCTAATGAAAGACCGAGCAAATAGTCGAACTCAAATATTTCTCTCATACGTTTTTGAACATACGAGCGAATCACGTAAACATTGCCATTTCCAAATTTGATCTATATGTGCTCATGCACATATAGATCAAATTTGTTGTTCTTGCTCCCGAGTTGTTCTTTGAGCCCAAAAATCCCAAACAAATCCTGCCTGGCGCATTTATGTCTAAAGTTCGAGCGATGCAGTGCACCAAAAAAGCTGTGTTTGCGTTTTTGGGACAAAGCACAATTCGGATTATTACAAGCCGACTAAACCGCGTTAATTCCAAATTGAAGGAGTTGGAGATTCTTTGTAAATGTACAGATAGTTGATAGTTGATGAAATCTGCATATGTCGTAGACAAAAAGGTTTTTCAGCGATTGTTGTGGTGGCGACGAGTATTGCAGATAAAGTTTGATTTGAAGTAGCTGCACGGAAAGTGATCGTTTCACAGAAAAACCCGAAAATTGACCAAGAATTTAGTGATAGCTTAATTTGAAGCTAAATCGAAACAATTTGACGTCGGCTAGTACAAGTTTTAGCTGATTTTTAAAAAGTTGAGCCTAGAAAAAGATATCCATCACCATTCCATCGCGTTTCTCGACTTAATCCAATACGGTTCCAATACGGTTCACATCCATTTCAGCATATTCGTCGATAGACTAGGATATTCAGTCTGGAATAGCTTGATTACGGTATTTAGTCTAGATTAGGATATTCAGTCTAGATAGAGTATTCAGTCTAGATAGAGTATTCAGTCCTGACTGTCTGGATTACGGTATTCAATCTGGAATAGGAGATTCAGTCTGGAATAGCTAGATTACGGTATTTTATCTAGATTAGGGTATTCAGTCTAGATTAGACTATTCAGTCCTGACTGTCTGGATTACGGTATACAGTCTAGAATAGGATATTCAACCTAATAAAGCTGTGCAGATTTCAGCATATTCGTCGTAACATTTATTGGCAACGAGACAATGCAGAATTAACTTCAGCTCACTCACCATTATTTACCTAAAAACCAAGATTTAAAAATTTAATTACAAACATTTGAAAAACTAACGATAAAAACGATAGACCAACGCGTCGCCCTTAATCTAAATGCCGTATTTTCTCTAATAGTAGTGCACCCCGGTGAGCCGAGTTGGCCGAGTTGGCGAGCCGATTTTACCGTTTCCAAGCTTTTGCAGAAGCTCAACACTCAAATCCCCCACTAGATCTCATCGTCAGCTACACTTTCCGACCCCACATCGATAGGTTCTGATAAGCGGTTCTCGAGATTTCGAGCAATTTAGGCGACGCTCAGGGTGCACTACTATTAGAGAGAGTACGGTCACAGAAAAGAGCGCAGGGAGCGCCAATTCAAAAATAAAGAAAATCCTGCAGCAAGTGCATTGGGTTTTCCAAAAAGAAATCCCAAAAAAGAGTAATTTCTTCCAATGGCAGGTGTTTTGAATTTCAAACCTTTTCGGCTACAACATATATAATAGTATTGGGTTGGTGGGTATGACTTGGCATGTTTTTTAAAATTAAATTCTAGAAATGTAAACAAACAGAGGGAGAGGAGTTTGTGGAAAATAGATAAGTGAACATTCACTCTTGCGCAAACAATGGACTTTCCCTTTTGAAATATTTGATCTTTGGAATTTTACTTTACTTTGTTCTAACTATTGAAAATCTGCCACCTGGAGATGCGGCACGTAATGTTGTACGAATTTCTACAAGGACACAAGGACCTCTAGTGTTCAGTTAATATTGAGAATGTTTATGTGGAAGGATCAGCTCCACTAGGACATGTGCAAACTAGTTTGTTAAATTCCATTCTGGGGATGAATCTTCAAAGACAAAGGGAGGGACACGAGGGAGACACGAGGGCCTCTAGCGTTCAGTTAATATTGAGAATGTGGAAGGATCAGTTGATGTGGAAGGATCAGTTGATGTGGAAGAATCAGTTCCACTACAGACATGTGCAAACTGATTTGTTAAATTCCGCTTTGGAAATGAATCTTCGAAGACAGACAGAAGACAGACAGAAGACAGATCTTCGAAGACAAAGAGAGAGGTCATCCAGCAGTCCTGTTGGATAATGGCAGTCCAGCTGGCAGTCCAGCATCCAGCAGTCCAGCATCCAGCAGTCCTGCTGGATAATGACAAGTTGCTCGAAATTTTTCAAACCAATAAAAGGCTTTCTTTTCGAGAAATAGCAGATGCGTTATCAGTTGATCATACAATAATACTACACTTCCATAAACTTGGGTTTAAATCGAAATTAGGGGCTTGGATTGCGCAATGGCTTAACGGACACCCAGAAATGGCGACGTCAGTGCCCATCAATCAATGCCGCTCATCTTTCTCGATACGAGCGCAAATCTTTTTTACCCTGTATTGTGACGGGGAAAATTGTTTCTAACTGCCAACTTTCGAAGAAGTTGCTGGGTTGCTGAGAGGGAAAAGCTCGAACCCGACGTCAAGTCAAATGTGCATGATAAGAAGTTCTTGTTCTCGGTGCTCAGGGATTTGGAAGAGCCTGCTAAGAACTTACTTCTATTATACTTTGAACAGCGATAATCAAATGCCTATTCCGATTCCGATAATTTTCAAGAAGTGCTTTCATAATCAGCGCTAATCATCAACAATCATCTTCGAATCACCGTTCAAAAAAGTGGGAGCAATTTTTGAACATTAATCGCTTTTTTTTCGCTTTTATCTCGTGCTCTTGATAGCGATCATCATTTTTTTTTCTGCTCTGATTGTGAAAATGAAAATGTGAAATTGAAAAACGATTTGCCGGCAATTTGACATTTCAATTTGCAGGTGTGGAATCGGGAGAGAGAAAGGGGAAATTTTGGGAAGCGAACAAAAATGAGAGAAAAACGGGGGGAAAGGTTTGACTGAAAGGGTGACCGATTTGAGTATTGGAGAATCTCACTCAATTACAGCTCTCAAGCGCGCGCTTTTCAGGGTTACTGACAGTGAAATGGCTTTGAAACAAGTAACAATCAAATCATCAATGTGCTTTTGATTAGCAGCAGACTTAGGAGTGAAGAAAGCTACGCGGCTGTTCTTGGCTTGTTTCTTTAGCGACTGTTCTTGGCTGTTCTTAACTTGGCTGTTTTTAACTTGAGTTCTTAACTTGCCTTTAATCGATTGACAGAACTTACTGCTTTCTGCAAACTGCAAACTTAACTGGGGTATTAAAGTATTCTACACGGTTCCCTGAGGCTTGGAATCGTGCTCAGGCCATTTCGAACAAGAGATAGGTTTAGGCTTCCTTACTTGAGTTCATTTTTGCAACGAAGCCAACTAGGCAACGAAGCCAACTAGGCAACGAAGCCAACTAGGCAACGAAGCCAACTAGGCAACGAAGCCAACTAGGCAACGAAGCCAACTAGGCAACGAAGGCAACTAGGCAACTAGGCAACTAGCCAACTAGGCAACGAAGCCAACTAGGCAACGAAGCCAACTAGGCAACGAAGGCAACTAGGCAACTAGCCAACTAGGCAACGAAGCCAACTAGGCAACGAAGCCAACCAGCCAACTAGCCAACCAGCCAACTAGCCAACCAGCCAACTAGCCAACTAGGCATCTGCATCGGCAGAGCAGCCGACGGTCCAAAGCACCCTGGTTCGATCCCATTCTCAGCCAATTTCTTTTGGTTTTTTCTAATCTGGCACTTTTTGCAGGTTTACACGTTATAACAGGCTCCTAATTAGGCAAAGGTGTGAGTTTTCCTTGATCTTTGAAGACACAAGAAGTACTACCTTTGATACTTTGTGAGATATTGCGTTGCTCTTTAGATCACCTCTAGATCTTTAGATTTAGATAGTGCACGATTTTTTGAGCGTAACTCCCCGCAAACAAAACGGATCTCTATACTCTCTTCTTTTTTATGAAATTTAGACTGTTTTTACACTAGATTTTTATTGTTTGGTTGAAAAACCAAAACAGGGCTATTTTTGAGTGATTCAAACTTCAATTAGCATTCATTTCTACTATTTCAAACTTTTCAAACTTCTCTTTCTTTAAACTTCTCTTTCTTTAAACTTCTCTTTCTTCAAGCTTCTCTTTCTTCAAGCTTCTCTTTCTCTCTCCTCGTCAAGCTGAGTGTTTTCGTCGACTATGCGGCTAAACAATCGCAGACGAGAAGTTTTCTAGGTCTTGATATTTCGCATATATTATATATTAAGTATATTATGTTTGGTTACTTTTACGCTGTGAATCATTTACAATCAAAGAGCAAACAACTCCTGAAGACAGGGATCCTGTAGAACGTTTTTCCTGAATAAGCCTGAATGAGTGTGCGGAAAAAGACTGTTTTAAAGGTTTTGTAAATAGCCAGCCGCGATTTTAGGCTTCGATTGTCTTTCTCAATCTTTCAGAAGCGTTTTTAAGTCAAGTTAGATGATTTGAGGAGTTTTTGTCATGTAATTTAACCAAAACATTCAACCATATGGAATTTTGGAAGAAAAAACTTTGAAAACACGTTTTTTACACGTTTTGGGCCAAGCCCTATCAATTTACATAGTTTTTAGTTAATTTTTAATTTTTGATTCATATAGTCCCCTCTTACCTACTTTTTGGTCGACCGACTTTGGGAGATTGAAAAATAGAAGCATATGTGCTTCTATTAGAAGGATTATGGTAGGTAAACAAGCGGATGAGGCACTACCAACAATCTATCAACAAGCTAAAAGGCACCAGGCACTACCAACAAGCTAAAAGGCTACAAGGTAGGCTACAAAGTCGTCGCTTACAATTAGAGGACTAACAACAAGCCTAGGTCCCATTTGAAAAGTCCACCCTTGTAATTATTGTTGATAGACTGATGCCAAGCACCACTAGGTGGTTTTTTGATTCTTTTAAAGTTCAAGATATTACTGTGGCGCATAGCCACTAAAAAGTTACCTAACTCTGACAGCATAAAAATTGGAAAAGTATTGCGGAAATCCGTACGTCATTCTATTTCGCGTTCCAAATCATTTATTGTTTTGTAGCTTGTTAGCTGAATATCTTGGGTTAAAGCCTATATAACGCAACTGTTTTTCATTTGATTCGTTTTATTATTTTCTGCTTTCCTTTCATCGTGTGAAAGTTGTGTCCTAATTAGGACGAAATTGTTTCTGTTTTTGTCGTCGCTTTTAATTCAATTGTCGATTTTGTGTGAAAATTGCTCAAGTGAGAGCCCAAAAAATTGCGAGTCAGTCGGCTATTGAATAAAGTGTCTTAGTTCAAGCGAGATCAGATATCTCGAAACAAGAAATAACGTGGCTTGAGTGAAGAGTACCAAGCAGGCAAAGAATATTTCTTTACAATTACAGTTGTCACTTGATTTTGCAGAGTTTAGTTGCCAGTTCAGTTGCCAGTTTCGATAAATCAGCTCACTTTCTGAGAAAACGAGCTTTTATTGCAGAATTTAGAAGGGGAAAGCGGCCGAATCTGGTGTAAACACCTGGATTAGGTTAATAATTGACTGATTAGGTTAATGATTGATTGATGATTGATTGATGACTGATTAGTTTAATAATTCAAACTAGAGTTACGTCCCAGAAACAGTCTCAAATATTGTGCGTTTAAAAATTTCGCGTTATCACCGTTAATGACTTAATGAGGTTAATGACTGATTAGGTTAATGACTGATTAGGTTAATGACTGATTAGGTTAATGACTGAATAGGTTAATGACTGTTTAGGTTAATGACTGATTAGGTTAATGACTAATTAGGTTAATGATTCATTAGGTTAATGACTAATTAGGTTAATGATTCATTAGGTTAACGATTGATTAGGTTAATAATTGACTGATTTGACTGATTATTTTAATAATTCAAACTAGAGTTACAGTACTGGACAATGAAATATGATATTTGAAAAACGATCGTCACTTTCGCGCGTCTCTAACGCCCTTGTCTTTGAGTTTAAACTATTAGTGTTATATATTTTCTGAAAGCTCTTTTCAAGGGCTACACAATGGTAATATTAATATTTAGAAATACGGTAAAGACAAGGGCGTTAGAGACGCGCGAAAGTGACGATCGTTTTTCAAATATGATATTTCATTGTCCAGTAGTGAACAATGAAATAGTCTCAAACATTGTGCGTTTAAAAATGAGTTTAATTTCGCGTTATCACCGTTATTTCCTTTTTTTTGAGCGCAGTTTTAAAACAACCACTACAAAGTGAATCTCTAATGGAGTGAATCTCTAATCTCTAATCTCGAATGAATTCGATTCATCCAATCGAATTTATTCAGATTAGATTCGAATTTATTCAAATCTGCTTACAAAATGAAATAAATCGGATTTCAGTTTTGTTTTTTTCTCCATTAGAGATTTGGCATCGCATTTTCCCTTTTCCACCGCGCGTTCGAAAATCTCAGTTATCGAGGACGGCACTTTGCCGGGTGTCATTCCCGATCGACTCCCCTTTTCTCTCCGCTCAGTTGACCTTGGAAAAAAGTGGACACACATCGAAATTCCATCGCCCATTTCACTGTGTTTTTCATAATTTACTCACTCTCTCACTTGAAATCGTGTTGTGATTGATTGATCAATTCTCGCATTGTCTTCTTGTTTTCTCGGTTCTTTTTAATTTTATATCAAATAGCGGCCGAATCTGGTGTAAACACCTGGATTAGGTTAATAATTGATTAGGTTAATGACTGATTAGGTTAATGTTTATTTTAAACTATCAAATATTTTAAAACAAAGTATTAGGTTGATGCAAAAGTCTTTTTCATTTTTTTCGTACTTCCGTTAAAAAGTAACAAATGCACCAATTGAACGACGGTTTATTGCATTCGAAAGGCCAATTATTTTTCTGCAAAATGACATTAAAACGAGTTTAAAAAGTCTTATGTCTAGATTTTTTGGAGAGCCTGAAGTCGGGTAGTCAAAAAAGGCGACGGCTCGATGATGCATTTTAGACGCTTTAGCTAAGGAAACCAACCTTGATTTTAATAAATAAAAGATAGAGCACAAAAAGTTAGATATTTTTTCAGATTTTCAGAGAAATTGATTCAGCCAATTTCTTTATAGAGGTTTTTATAGATTTTTATGAAAAACCCGTTTTCACTCTCGAATTTGCTTGAAAGTGAACCCAAATTGACTTAAAAAGATGGGAAATTCAACAATAAACACTTTTCATTTAGAGCAAACCATAGGTTAATTGATGACTTTGTTATTTTTCAAAAGAAGTACGAAAAAAATGAAAAAGACTTTTGCATCAACCTAATATTTGATAGTAAAACAATTGTGAATAGTTAGCTGATTGTTGATGCAATTAGCTTGATGCAACAATGCAGTTGATGCAGTTGATGCAATGCAATTGTTGGTGCAATGCAATTGTTGGCGCAATGCAATTGTTGGTGCAATGCAATTGTTGATGCGATGCAATTGTTGATGCGATGCAATTGTTGTTGCAATGCAACTGTTGATGTGCAATGCAATTGTTGGCGCAATGCAATTGTTGATGTGCAATGCAATTGTTGATGCGATGCAATTGTTGATGCAATGCAACTGTTGATGTGCAATGCAACTGTTGGCGCAATGCAATTGTTGGTGCAATGCAATATAATGCAATAATTACTTAAAATGTCCAATGAATCAAATCAAAATGCTAATTGCATTGCTGTTAGCATGATAATTTCAATATTCAATTTCAATATTCAATTTCAATTTCAATATTCAATCTCAATTTCAATATTCAATTTCAATATTCAATTTCAATTTCAATTTTGTATTCAATTTTTTTCAATTCTGATCCTCTCTTTTCTACAATATCCTCTGTTAGAAGAGTGAAATTCCGAAATGAATAAATAAGCAAAACTTATTTAAAATGTTGAACTTAAAGATGATTGAACTATTACGAAAGATTTTTGGCGGAAAGGGGCAAAAGGAGGAGACGCGGAAGAACTCGATCACTGGGAGGAATCAAACTTTTGTGGGTTCGAAGTTGAAGAGTTGAAGAGTTAAAGGGTTAAAGAGTTAAAGAGTTGAAGAGTTGAAGAGTTGAAGAGTCTATTGTCTACTTTATAATCTAAACCCACCCTTTCTGGTGCACTCGATCTCTCATTTTTGTTATTGTAAGGAGAATTGAACGTGAATGTGTTACATTGTTGAGTACAAAGTAAATTAGAAGTCTTCTTTAACTCTAAAAAACAAGTTAAAGAAGTCAGACTGAATGAATTCCTGAAAACAGTTATCCTAGCAAGCTACAAAGCTACAAAGCTTTCCAGACAGCTTTCCAGACAGCTTTCCAGACAGACTTTAAAAGCTATAAATCAAAGTCGAAAAAGAATGATTTGAATATGCCAGCAAGAGTGTGTTTGGGCTTTTTGAGCATAGAAGTACATTCGCTTTTTGAGCAAAAAGTACATTCGCTTTTTGAGCACAAAGTACTCTTATTTCAGCCTGTTCCCTATCTTTCTCGTCTTGATGGCCTTCAGCTTTTGCCTGGTCAATCACTCATCATTCGAGGGATTGTTTGTGGTGAATTTTCAAATAACAAAACATTCTGAAAGCAGAATCTTACTTCAAACTCTAGTTCAAACTAGAGCTGATCTAAAGATTATTGAAATAATGAAAATTCAGCAAGCGAGTTGAATCCCGGTCATGAACAAGTTCTCATCAATCTTACTGGTGGACCAAAAGTCGAAAAAGAAGGCGAAGACGATGAACTGGATGACAGGTTTTGAAGGATTAAAGAAGGATTTAAGAAGGATTTAAGAAGGATTTAAGAAAAAGCTTTAGTCAACAGAATTTATAAGCTGATAATGCCAAGTTGTATCTAGCAGTAAAGCAGTAAAGCAGTAAAGCTGATGCAGTAAAGCTTTGTTGTAAGCTGACTGACTGGCTAAGAACCTTGTATCTTAGTCGGGAGGTCAAGGGTTCAATCCCGCTTAGATTATTGGGTCGTTTTTCCATATAGAGTGCGGCAGAATTATAGGCAGATAAAACCATTCTGAAAAAGGTCAAAAAAACAAAATTACTACAAAAACAGGTGTAAACAATTTACTAGATTCAAGCAAACAATCTTTACTGATCATACTCGAAGCGTCCACCGTTTGCACCGATACAGGCCTAAAGAGACTTCGGCATTGACCTTTGCCCGTGACGACCAAGTGGGCTGGGTCGGGTCGGGTCTGGCTTTTCAAGAGAGCCTTCTTCAGGCCTATCGAGAGTTTTAGGTTCGAATCATCAAGGTTTACTGCATCATTCTGCTTGTTTAATATCCCTTTCACTGTAAAGGTCTTCTCGTAGGTGAACAAAATGTTTCTGTGATCGATTCCGTTAAAACGAAGGCTTACCTGCTCACATCGATCTTTTCTCTTCAGTTTGGCGGCAGCAGAGAGCATGATTGACTTGTTTTTCTTGTAGGGCTTGAATTTGAGCTTGTTCTTGATGATTCGGCAAATGGGTCGATCAGATACGTTCTTGGCGATCTTTCGAACGGATTGGTTAGGCTTCTTGTGAAGTCGATCTTGGTTTCTGGAGCTTGCTTGATCTTGATTTCTTGATCTTGCTCTTGGTCACCACGGTCAATCGCCTGCCTCTTCCAAGCCGATCAGACATTAATCCAGTATTGTTGTATTAAATGGCACGAGACGTTTCTATGCCCTTCCAACTTTCTTGCGGTCACGGTCAGCGACTCGCCCTTCCGATGAAGCTCCACGATCGATAGTTGATGCGGTGAAGATCGAACCATTTTCTAAAAAGCAAACGTCGTTAAAACAATCCAGAAACAATCCAGAAAACCAAAATTCAAACAGAAAATAACAAAGAAATAACAATTTTAGCGTTAACATTTTAAAATATGGTCACTTTTTTTTATTGTTACGCACTGCTCCTATAACTCTGCCGCACCTATATGCCTTTTTTTCTTCTCTACATTTAGGGCTTAGGAGTTGTGCTTGTGTATTGTTTGTACCACATTATTCGTGTGAATAAATGTATTTCTTTTATAACCGCAATTTTTACAAGTTTTTAGACTTCTCTCGTTGCGAGCCGATTTGCGAAAACGTCGTATTCACATCAATGCATGTGTTCAGGGACAATGGGGAAAGTGAGCAAAGTAGTCATGTATAAGAACATGTATAAGAACGTAATGGATCCAGAAAATCTAGTTCTTTAAAGCCAATCTTAAAGCCAATCTTAAAGCCAATCTTAAAACCAATCTTAAAGCCAATCAAGCCAACTTTAAAGCTAACCTTAAAGCCAATTAAGCCAATCAAGCCAATCAAGCCAATCTTAAAGCCAATCTTAAAGCCAATCAAGCCAATCTTAAAGCCAATCAAGCCAATCAAGCCAATCAAGCCAATCAAGCCAATCAAGCCAATCAAGCCAATCAAGCCAATCAAGCCAATCAAGCCAATCAAGCCAATCAAGCCAATCAAGCCAATCAAGCCAATCAAGCCAATCAAGCCAATCAAGCCAATCAAGCCAATCAAGCCAATCAAGCCAATCTTAAAGCCAGTATATCGTTGTCCTTCTTGGTGCACTTTTTAAATCTCTAAACACACTACACATTTCTTCATTTTTTATGCGGCAACAATTCGGTGTAGTGCGGAAAATGAAGAATTGAGTGCACCAGAAAGGTCGTTGATCACCAGAAAGGTCGTTGAGCACCAGAATTACAAATTTAGATCGTCGAACAACCAATCAACAGTTTTATTTAGAGAGGGTATCGTGAAAAAAGGCTGGAAAACGGGTGAGGAATTCCATATTCGAGTGCGGTGTCACGATCAAGAATTCGGGGTAATCGTTTAGAAGTTGAATTGAAATCGACCCAACAAATGACTCAACAAACAAATGCTCTTCCAAAACGGATTTTTTTCAGATCTATTTGGATCACAAACTTGTGGCCAAATTCGCGCATTATGTGCCGATTTCTCATATCACGCATCTCTATATAAACGGCGATGTGGCCTTGTATGGAGTCTCGTGGGAAGGCAAATATTATGTAAGTGCAAAAAGTGTTCCTAGGGTTTCCGGGTACGCTGATTCGATTGGTGATATTTCCAGAACTTGTTTTCGAATTATTTCGTCTTGTTTTCCGATGTTTCCTTGCTTGCCTACATCTCCCATTTTCTTTTTTCGATGTCGGGAATAGCTGCAGCTAGTTCCACACATCCACATAATTATACCCTCACCCTAATTTGCTTTTTAGCAAAAACAAAGTTGCCAAAAACTTGCCAAAACCGTAAACTTGCCAAACAAAGTTGCCAAAGAGAAAATGTGTCAAATGTTAATACTAAAATTTGTATATTCCCTAAATTTGAACCGAAAACAAGCAAAATTTTTGAATGAGACTTTTCGCAAAAATCTTTGGCCTCTTTCTTTCTTTGGCCTCTTTCTTTCTTTGGCCTCTTTGGTCCTTTGGCCATCCTCTTTGGTCCTTTGACCATCCTCTTTGGCCAATCCACATAATTATACCCTCATTTAAGCAAAGCTTTATTATCAAACAAGAAATAACAACTGAGTAAAAGAACAATATTTAATAATCAATTGAATCTTCATTTTCGCGAATAAGCAGCAAAAATTCTCTCATCCAATAACAAATAAAGAGCAACTTTTGGTGAATCTGGTTGAAAGGTTGGATCGATCTGTATTTTGTAATCTGCTACCGTATTTTCTCTAATAGTAGTGCACCCCGGTGAGCCGAGTTGACGACGTTTTTACGGCTTCCAAGCTTTTGCAGAAGCTCAACACTCAAATCCCCCCACTAGATCTCATCGTCAGCTACATTTTCCGACCCCACATCGATAGGTTCTGATAAGCGGTTCTCGAGATTTCGAGCAATTTAGGCGACGCTCAGGATCACTACTATTAGAGAAAATACGATATTATCTTGTGTAATTCTCCTTTTTTAAACATAAAAAGCGTCTGGAACAATAATCTGTCCAATAAACAGAAACGCTGTCGGAGTTTCACTTTTGGGATGAGAAACCGACCTTTGAACGCCTTCTGACCGAAGTTTAACCCACTCAAACAAATTTTCGTCAAAGCCTTCTCATTGGAGGTTGTAGAAAAGAGTTCAAGGATCATTTTGGTACCCCATTTGGGCTGATCCGAACATTTTTGACCGAGCTACAGCCGCATGAAGCAAGCATACCCAGAAAGTAGCTCTTTTCACACAGGAAAAGGCTAAATGTTCGTCTCCTGAAATTTAAAACGCTGTAGTTCGATCAAAAATTCTAAAAACAAGAAGAAATAAGTCGAAAAAAGGTTCTGAAAATATCACCAATCGAATCAGCGTAGCCGAAAACCCTAGGAACGCTTTTAGAAGCTCTGCCCACTTTAGAAGCCCCCAATCCGTAAAGCCCCAAATGATTTCCTAAAAAAAACTTAAACTACGCGACTGTACGAGCAGGTGGCGTTCTATTAGAGTATTTACAATATTCACCTTTTGCGGAATGCATACGATAGTCCCGGAGTTTGGGGACTTTTCTATTTTACTCTATAACTTGACTTCCAATTGTCAAATCCACTTGGGGTTGATTTTAAAATGATCCTTACAAAATTTGGTTATAGAAAAGTTCAATTTACTTGGTACACTCTAGTGTAAGAACACAGAGAAAATTTGTATCAAAGTCAGACTACCTATCTGAAAGGGTCGATCCACTTAAATGATCTCTAAGTCAAGATGTAAAAGTTGAATCAACTCAGGGTTACTTTTATTAGAATCTACATTAAATTTGAGTAAAGAAATATTGAATCTGCTTTGTAGACTTACCGATAAAAACATAGAGAAAATTAGGGTCAAAGTCGAGATAAGTTTGGGTAGAGAGTCGGAGTTTGACCACTTCTCTCTTTTCCTTCATATCTCGACTTCCAATTCTCAGATCCACTTGGGGTTGATTTTAAAATGATCCTTATGAAATTTGGTTATAGAAAAGTTCAATTTACTTGGTAAACTCTAGTGTAAGAACACAGAGAAAATTTGTATCAAAGTTAGACTAACCACCCAAAAAAGTCGATAGGGTAGACTCGTATACCCTATCCTTTAGAAGGTCAACTTTGACCCAAATTACGGTGGCTACGGTGGCTAAAAGACTACTGTACACTACCACACTACAATGACAGCTCAATGACAGCTCAATGTCGAATCAAATCCCAACCCTGAATCTTTTATAAATTCATTTCAGCAAGTGCCTTATACAGCCGATATTCCCGGAAATTTCTACCCACAAAGAAAGCTATTTTTCTCCGGTTTTTTGAAGGTTTCTTTGAAAAGAATAAACAAAAATTCATGAATTATCTAGAAAAAAGCCAAACAAATCACGGTGGATCTTTTTGCTGACAAGGACATCGCTCTTCGAATTCAATCACGTATCGGAGAAAGAGTGAGTCAAGTTCTTTTTCAACTCCAGCCAGCTCCAGCCAGCTCCAGCCAGCTCCAACCAGCTCCAGCCAGCTTTCAACTTGCAATCGCACTCTTGCAAAGCATGCTATGTTTATTCCAGATGCTGTAAATGTCTAGTCACTTATCTCCACCTTTTGCAATGAAAGCGAAAATATTGATTCACGGCCGTCTCCGATCCAAGTACTAACGTATTGTAGAATCTAGGATAGATGAGACAGAATCTAAGACCTTACAGTAATCCTAAATTAATCCAGACATGAATGACTGATTATTTGTCTATTTGCCCAGCTTTTCATTCTCTATCCTTTGTCGCTAGACACCAAAATATATTTCTTTGATAAAAAGTGCTCAAATCAAACGAGTTTCATCGTTTTCACTGCTCGACTTTAAAAAATTAATTAATGCCAGTTTTTTAGAATTTCTTAAAGAGCAATTTCTAAACAAATAATAGAACTTTCTGATAAAAGAAACCATAGATTGATTGGTTCATTATTCATTTCAAAAAGTAACCTTTAAAAAAGCGGACAAGACTTTCCGGCAAGCCTGATTGACCTAAGTAAGACTGAAGGAAGACTGAAGTAAGACTGGAGTAAGACTGAAGTAAGACTGGAGTAAGACTGGAGTAAGACTGAAGTAAGACTGGAGTAAGACTGAAGTAAGACTGAAGGAAGACTGGAGTAAGACTGAAGTAAGACTGAAGGAAGACTGGAGTAAGACTGAAGTAAGACTGGAGTAAGACTGGAGTAAGACTGAAGGAAGACTGGAGTAAGACTGAAGTAAGACTGGAGTAAGACTGAAGGAAGACTGAAGTAAGACTGGAGTAAGACTGGAGTAAGACTTAAGAAGCAAAGTAAGACTTATGATTGCTTTCAGAAAGTCATCCGAAACACACGAACCGACTCAAATTGGGGCCAAGACGAGGCGGATATCTTGTGCAGTTTTCCTCTAAAAAGAGGAAAAGAATTCGATATGATCATCTTTTGTGGGGACACCGAATTTCAGGTGAGTTATGCTGTAGTTATTCGGGGGAAAATTGGATATGTTTTCTTAAGCACCAGATCGAATCCAAAGTACTGATCGATTGTTGGCACTAGGTGTTTTTCTCAGTTTGCCTACTCTATTTTCACAAATTTTCCACCAGAACTACCATTAGCTTTCTCATAATCAATACTCAGGGCTGTACCTGATTCATTGTTCTGGTCCTAGTCTCAAAATATCTCAATCGACAGAGAAAGACTTGACGCATCCAATGATACCAAGAGTATTTCAAATGGACAGCCTAACACCGAGATATTTGAGTTCAAAGTTGGATCGCCAATGGCGAAGAGGGCGGGGATAGGTGGGACATATGCCCCGCCCGTTTTGCCATTGGCAATCTAACTTTGAGCTCAAATATCTTGGTATTGGGCTGTTCAATTTAAATATTTTTTGTCCCAATCGACAGAGAAAGACTTGGCGCATCCAATGATTATAAGAATATTTCAATTGCAAAGCCCAACACCAAGATATTTGAGCTCAAAGTTGAGCCAATGGCAAAAGGGGCTGGGCGCGCATAAAAGGTGGGACATGCTCCGCCCCCTTCGCCATTGGCAATGCCATTCCCAAGATACCGTCGTCGCAAGTGTGTTAATGGGCTTTTCTTTCGTATGAATACATTTCCTGACAATTTGACTAAAAGGCCAAGCAAATGCAAACAGACAAAAACGTCTATCCAAACTCGAGCTCTTATATCGTCGCGACTCAAGTGTACTTTCTCTGTAATTTCTAAGCTTTCAGAACAGAATCAAGCTTTTGACAGAATACAATTTATGATAGATTTTTGGAGAAAAATCTAATGAAAACTTTCATACAAAAATCTTAAGAAGAATAGGTGCAAAGAGGGCAAAATAAACAAAAAGACAAAAAAGCCTGCTTATATTTCCGAAAAAACCAGGTTAGACTACGGTAGGTTATCCACAGTTTAGCTTAGATTGATTAGCTTTTTGGTGACAGTCTATTTTAAAAACGGATCACTCCACAAATGACCCATTATCATCACTGTTCAGATCTACGTGAATGATGTATTTGTTTGCAATTACGCCCATCGATTACCATCACCATCAATCAATCGAGTCAACATTGAAGGCGATCTTGAAGTGCACGGTGTTCATCTTAAATAATTCAACAGTTTTTTTTCTCCTATTACTTGAATATTTCTTTTTGTAATTCTAATTTGTAAACCTTTTGCTAATTTTTCAAAAATGAATTGTGATCACTTAACAAATTTGCATATTAAATGCTAGTTTTTGCCTCTTTCCTTATCCGGTGGATAAATCTGATTCGATGCATGAAAGTCTGCTCAAATACGTTTCTCGTTTTACATAAGAGTTTAAAAGCCAGGAAACATTTGGAATTGAAATAAATTTAGAAAAATTAACCGCGAATTCAAACAGTTCATAACTGGATTTTAAAACTTTTGAAAACTGTCAAAGCAATGCGACTATTGCCATTTGATAAAGATTACTCAATGTTATAGATGTTTCTTTGAAAGTCGGCGCTGTTTCGGCGCTCAATAAAAAGGCGTCGGTCAATAAAAAGGAGTATTGGTTAAAGGTATCAAAGAATTCCGAAAGGGGGGATTGAATGCTTGTCATGGTGGGTAGAAAGTGATTTTTCGTAGATCTCGGCTGTCCAGTTGGAATCTAATAAACGTAAAATATTGGGTTGATGAATTGAAAACTGCCGGCTATTGTGAGATGTGACAGTTTGAGCACTTTCTTCAAAAGAAACCTATTGTTTAAAGTTGATTAAAGTTGATTTCTAGCATCTTATTTTCGTTTTTGTTAAGGAGTTTTTCGTAAAACAAGTGAATAAATGGAATCAAGTTTAGTCGAATGTGTCTAAACTGAAACTGAGTGCATTTATTGGGTTGGTGAATTGAAAATGGCCGGCTATTGTCATATGTGACAGTTTGAGCACTTTCTTTAAAAGAAACTCATTCTGGTGTCAATGGAAAAAAAAGCAAAAGAAAGCAAAAAAAAAGACTGAACAAATAAAACACGACGAAAGACTGAAAAATTCTTTGTGGCGGGGTCCTTTTATTGCGTCGGGTTACGGTAGTTTCCGACGTTTGGCGCGGAAACGTCTGAAAGGCAAAGTGTACGGTGGGCGGTCCGAAAGGCATCTGTCCTCAGAATTTTATTATTTCAAGAGAGAATTCCTTTAAATTGATTTAAAGTAAAATGAAATTAAACCCAATTTGTTTAATTACTTTTTTGATTATTATTTTTAATTTATTGGGATGGTGAATTGAAAACTGCCGGCTATTGTCATCTGTGACAGTTTGAGCACTTTCTTCAAAAGAAATCCATTTTGGTGTCAATGGAAAAGTTGTAGAGAATCAAAAATCAAGCTTATATCCAAATTTTCAGAACGATTCAAAAACTGGTTTTCAAGAAATGCGAAATTTACGAATTTTCACAAAACTTTCAACAAAACTTGCATTTTAAGCGAAACTATTAAGCGTATCTTTTTGGAAATTTGGCTATAAGCCTAATTTTTGATTCTCTACAACTTTTCTATTGACACCAAAATGGGTTTCTTTTGAAGAAAGTGCTCAAACTGGGACATCTCCAGTCCTCCATTTTTCCAGTCCTCCAGTCCACACTTGTCTCACACACAAACCAAAATCCTACCACGAAAGAGGAATCCGCAAATTGCCTGTAAAATGGGCAGAAGTCGTCAATAATAATGGAAATTATTTGGAATGAATTAATCGTTTTATGTTGAAGAAATTTTAGTTCAAAAGTCCGGCAGTTTTCAATGCACCAACCCAATAGAATCAGATTTATCCACCGGATAAGGAATGATTTTGTAGAGAAATAAGTGATCTTTCTAATGATACTACTATTGCCATTTGATAAAGATTACTCAATGTTATCGATGTTTCTTTGAAAGTCGGCGCTGTTTCATACTTTCCCAACTCAATAAAAAGGGAGTATTGGTTCAAGATATCAAAGAATTCCGAAAGGGGGGATTAAATAGTTGTCATGGTGGGTAGAAAGTGATTTTTCGTAGATCTCGGCTGTCCAGTTGGAATCTAATAAAAGTGAAATAGTTTAAAATAGAGGTGACGAGAGAACATTCTTTAATCATTATTTAAAATCTATTGGAGTGTGACAAGTGTTACTAATGTTACTAGTGTTTACTAGTGTTACTGTTCTAAAGGAAGCCTATCAAATGTTTATTAAATCATAAATAGCATCAAAACCAATCAAAATTAGTTATCTTTCACTTGATATCATCCCGGAAATGTAATAAACCCACTCTTAGGAAGCCATCTGATGTAATCCGTCTTTGAGAAAGTCGACTGTGCAAAAGGGAGACGGTGATAAGGGATTCATTCTTTTCGAAAAGATTTTCGGTGAATTCCCGATTCGGTGAATTGTCGAAGGATTGAAAATGATGTTTTTCCATCAAATCTTCTTGTTGAAAGTGTTGAGTGTTGTATTAGCGGATGATCCGATTTGCCCATCACGATATTCATATCAAAATGATCTTGGTCTTTGCGTGGCCTATTCAACGTTACCAGGCAAGTTATCTTCATGATTTGTTAGTAAAAAGCTGGTATTTTTCTTGAAAACATCTTTTTCTTAAGAATCTTTCTCTAAATAAATAACGTTTTCTCTTTGCACTCATTGAAAAATTCGTTTCCCATTAATTCAAAACAAAAATAGCTTTTTGTATGTAAATGAAAGCGAGAAATTTGTTTGAATAAAGGAATTGTTTGAACGAAAGTAAACTAAACTAATAAAACTAGTAAAACTTTAGAAGTATGGTCAGTGGCGTTGACGGAGTGTCAGAGTACAGGCGGCGATTTTCTCTCAATTCACAACTTCTTTCAGAATTCATACACCGCCAATATAGCAAAGAGTTTGCTTTAGAGGAGCTACGGTTATCTTTTTGTAGATTTGACAGGAGCGACGAAGAGTTGGCTGGGAGCCCAATATTTGAATGGAACATGGAAATGGTCGGATGGAAGTCCATTTGATTATCAACGATTCCAGTCAAGTGAGCAACAAGTAAAATTAAGAAAAGAAAAGGAAAAAAAGGAAAAATGAAAGGAAACTAGAAAGGAAACTACAAAGGAAACTAGAGAATAACTAGAAAACTAGAAAACTTTACAAGGAAAGGTGACATGGGTGAGAGTGGAGATGAAAAGTCAGACCTAAATCATTGGATGCAGAATTTTTCCCTGATTCCGATGTTGTATTTAGTTTTTGCAAAGTGACATGGAATTGCGAGGATTCTGGGATACAGTCGACTCTCTAAACTCTATATAACGGAAAGCTCTATATAACGGAATGAAATTTTGGTCCCGCTAAGCTATTTTGAATATCAAAAAAATCTTGTGAATCAAAACGTAAGCAACAATTCGTTTGATCAATTGCTTATCAATCAATTGCGTTTGATCAAATTCATAAACATCTAAAGATAATCAGGTTTGTGGCGCCTGGAATGTTTTCTACTATCCTGGAAATAGGTTTTCCAAAAGAAAAGTAAGAGGATTCGACTCCACGACCAATAGGGCGAGCACTCTACCACTCTGCCACCGCTGCAGTGCCTCTTATCTTACGAAAGCCCTTAAGACTATATGCCAAAAGCGTTTTTGCCAGATTCCTGCGAGATTGCAAAAACTAAATACATTGAAATCAGCGATGGTCTAGACCTTATTTTCCATCTCCACATCACCCTCGTTGGCCTTCCCTTGTTAGTACAGGGTGACAATCTGGGCGCACCTAATAAATAATGTCATTTTAAACTGTGGCAAAAGTTTAAAAAGTAGTTTTTGCTAAGTATTTGTAGCTTTTAAAAATCAAAACCGTTTTTCGAAAGCCTTTCTAATTTTTTAGTTATACTCATTCTCGTAACTTTCAAAAAAAAGGTCACTGCTCGTCCGCTGCTCGTTTTTTCAAACTTCAGATGAAAATATTTTTGTAAAAACACTCAGCTGATTGGTTTTTCTTAATTAAAAGTTTTATTACATTATTTATCATCATTAACAAGGGAAGGCCACGAGGGTGATGTGGAGATGGAAAATAAGGTCTAGACCATCTAGACCATAAGGATGCAGAATTTTTCGCTGATTTCAATGTATTTAGTTTTTGCAATCTCGCAGGAATCTGGCAAAAGCGCTTTTGGCATATAGTCTTAAGGGCTTTCGTAAGATAGGAGGCACTGCAGCGGTGGCAGAGTGGTAGAGTGCCCGCAAATGGGTCTATTGGTCGTGGACTCGAATCCTCTTAGTTTTCTTTTGGAAAACCTATTTCCAGGATAGTAGAAAACATTCTCACTCTCACGGTAGCTCTCATGTTTAAATACCGAAAAAAGTGCTTGAAGATGAGGTTTTTGCGAGCGGTTGATATTATTCTGCCCGGTACTGTAGCTCTGTAAGTATTTATTCTGCTTAATATCAAAGCTTTGACTTTGAACAATTTGATGAATAATTTCGAAACCACCCTGTACCCAGTGAAGAAAAAATATTCCAGGCAACACCGGTGGTTGTGTCTATTTGGATCAACAAGATTTACTCTGGAAGCTCACCTCGTGTACGGCTGGATTGTTTCCCTATGTTTGTGGGGCTCAACCGCTTCCCTCTCCAACGCCAACCGATAGCCAAACAACGCAAATCGTTCAGAGTACAACAAGTGAACGAGGGTTGACTTGTTTGCCAAGTGGGGGAATGTTTTCTTGTAAAAGTTTAAGCAATTCAAGCAATTCAAACAGTTCAAGCAGTTCAAGTCCTAATTTTTCAGTCCAACAGCAGCTTCCATACACGTGCAATCAGGGTTGGCAATATTTTCCGAATAACGGATACGAATATTTGGTACGTCACAAATATTACGAATAATCAAGAAAAGATTATATAATTGAAAGAGTGCCTCAGATTGTGATGGATAAAACTTTCGCGGATGCTGAATCGTATTGTGTGAGCCAAGGGGCTCATTTAGCATCGATTCACAGTGCTGAAGAGAACGATTTCATCTCAAGTGAGTCTAATGATTTTGTTTTATATGAAAAGAATTTATTTAACATCTATTTTGCTTAACAGCTATTTTGTTTGACAGCTATTTTCAGGCCTTTGTTGTCCATCTGGATGTGGCCACGATCACACGGGGAAATATTATGGCGCCTACATCACCGGGGGAAAACATGTATTAAAAGCTTTAGCTTTATAGAACAGCCTTATAGAACTTTAGCTTTAGAGAACTTTGGCTTTATAGAGCTAGGCTTTAGAGAACTTTAGCTTTATAGAACTTTAGCTTTATAGAACTTTAGCTTTATAGAGCTTTACCTTTAGAGAACTTTAGCTTTATAGAACTAGCTTTATAGAACTTTAGCTCTATAGAACTTTAGCTTTATAGAACTTTAGTTCTATAGAAATTTACCTTTATAGAGCTTTAGCTTTATAGAACAGCTTTATAGAACTTTACCTTTATAGAATAATATTTAAATTTGTATTGTGTCAAATTTGAGGTTTGGTCAATTTGAGGTTGGTCAAAATTTGGTTTGGACTGACGGGAGCCCATTTGATTATCAACACGATTCATGTATCGACGATCACGAAGATGGGGATTTTCTTTTGGTATTTATCTACATTACTCTACCGTTACCCTTTCCAAAATAACATTTGCAACATTTGCATTTTTAGATTCTAAACTTCGAATGTGATGGTGGCTGTGCGCAGCAGGGGATTTGGGATTGGAACGCCTGGTTCAACAGCCGAATGATTTCTTATGGAGTTTGCAAGAGAAAGCGCTCGCCATGAGTGTTTTAATGAAGAGATTATAAAAATCTTTGTCTATTGTCTGAAAAAGGATGAATTATTTCAATTATTTAAAGATATTTCGAGATATTTGCCATTATTTTCTATGATTTTTGCCCATTTTATTGATAGATATCGAATGCCACTCTCGTAAAACAATCTTCGGTTTTGATACAAACCATCGCTGTTGGGCGTCCACCTCGTCCTGGACGATCATTACTTGTTCCTAACGATTTAAACCGAGTGATGGCACGATAAACAACACTCCGGTGAACATTCAAACGCTTGGAGATGTCGATCGCCGAAATACCTTGCTGATGTAAAGCGATGATAGATTGTCGATGAAGCGATTTTGCAACCATCCTGTTAAAATATAATTTAAATGCGTAAAAGAGTTACAATAAGTCTAAGAAAAGAGAAAAACATAAAAAGGACAACATGCAGTCGTAAAACTGCGATTCAATGACCCCATAAACGCGTGGAGCCGCTTGTCGCTATAATCCTGCCCCACCCTTCACAAATGCTTCATAATGACAGTCCAACTAGAGGAGCCCATCCCAATTACAGTGCTCCTAGCTGCACACTTTTGATCTTTTCTGTAATACAACCTAACTAATATATGGAGGTATTATTCTGGGAGTAAACGAATATGGACTAGAATTTGGGTTAAGAGAGTGAAGTTAAAGAGAGTGAAGTTAAAGAGAGTGAAGTTGAAGAGAGTGAAGTTAAAGAGAGTGAAGTTGAAGAGAGTGAAGTTGAAGAGAGTGAAGTTGAAGAGAGTGAACCCCTTTTGATATCCTGCCATCTCTAACACCCCGACAACCCGACTCAACTCCTCCAACACAACTCCTCCAACACAACTCCTCCAACTCAACTCCTCCAACACAACTCCTCCAACTCAACTCCTCCAACACAACTGCTCCAACACAACTCCTCCAACTCAACTCCTCCAACTCAACTCCTCCAATGACCGACCTGAACTGCAGTTGCATAGACCCGGAAGATATGTATCTTTATTTACAGTAGTATAATAAGACGAATAGATTACAAAGGGAAAGGGGAAGGGGGACTCCAAGTGAGAGCCTCACTTGTCCTCCTAGGCAATCCCAAGGCAATCCCTTTCATCGCCCCTTCTCGGCGATGAAAGGGATAAGCACAGGGAAGATCACATTTACATAAGAATAGACAAATCATTCAATAACAATAATCGTAACTAAAATATCAGTTTGGCTCGGAGCTGACACCTTGAATTTGCAAGTATCCTAGTTTTTGAGTTAAGAGTGATATCGCCGAAAGTGAAATAGAGGTTCGCCCTAGATTATTGTGTTGCAAATCCAGCTGGCTGTTGTAAATCGAGCTGGCTGTTGATTTCAATTATTAGCTAAGATCTTCTTTTAGTTAACTTGAACTTGAATCTGATGTAAAAATGGAAAAAAAAGTCTTTTTAGACACTTTTTCCACCATTACTACTATTTTCAAGTTCAAGTTGAAAATAGTAGTAATGGTGGAAAAAACACTTCTTAAAAAACAGCAAAAATCGAGGTTTTGTAACAGGAAATCGAGGAGATCACATTTACATAAGAATAGACAAATCATTCAATAATAATAATAGTAACTAAAGTATCAGTTTGGCTCTAAGCTGACAGTATATCTAAGCTAAGAGCTCAGAGCTGACAGTATATCTAAGCTAAGAGCTCAGAGCTGACAGTATATCTAAGCTAAGAGCTCAGAGCTGACAGTATATCTAAGCTAAGAGCTCAGAGCTGACAGTATATCTAAGCTAAGAGCTCAGAGCTGACAGTATATCTAAGCTAAGAGCTCGGAGCTGACAGTATATCTAAGCTAAGAGCTCGGAGCTGAGAGTATATCTAAGCTAAGAGCTCAGAGCTGACAGTATATCTAAGCTAAGAGCTCAGAGCTGACAGTATATCTAAGCTAAGAGCTCAGAGCTGACAGTATATCTAAGCTAAGAGCTCAGAGCTGACAGTATATCTAAGCTAAGAGCTCGGAGCTGACAGTATATCTAAGCTAAGAGCTCGGAGCTGAGAGTATATCTAAGCTAAGAGCTCAGAGCTGACAGTATATCTAAGCTAAAAGCTCAGAGCTGACGGTACAGTACTGGACAATGAAATATCATATTTGAAAAACGATCGTCACTTTCGCGCGTCTGTAACTCCGTTGTCTTTGAGTTTAAACTATTAGTGTTATACATTTTCTGAAAGCTCTTTTCAAGGGCTACACAATGGTAATATTAATATTTAGAAATACGGTAAAGACAATGGAGTTACAGACGCGCGAAAGTGACGATCTTTTTTCAAATGATATTTCATTGTCCAGTAGTGTATATCTAAGCTAAAAGCTCGGAGCTGACAGTATTGAAATACTTTACACAATTCAAATCATTTCAGAGCATGCACTATGAAAATTGTCTAGTTTTCGGATAAAAGAAATGACAAAATCCGATATACTTTTGGTACAATAAACGCTTTTCCCAAAAAAATCTCACAAAAAGGAACCAAGCAGTAGACTTTATTAAAATCCGTTCTCTTTTTTAAATCGAATGTATTGTGGAGATTTCAAAAGCTAGCCATCTGATTCTATTTGTTATTCATTGTGTCATCCCAGAAGGTACAATGAAAGCGGCTCCCTGCAGAGATTTTAAAACTTTGAACCCAGAAATTAAAATGATTTGAATGATTTGAATGATTTGTATGTTTGAAGCCATTTTTAAACTTCCCGATTTTTTGTATAAAAGACTTATGATCACATCCAGTGTCAACAATCAGAAAAATGAGATATTCAACTCTTGGATTTCTGGCGCTCGCTTTTAGTAAGTATTTTCAAAACTAATTATGTATTTTTATAATAAAAAAAAGCTTGGTTTTCTGGGATTTCTATCCCAGATTTCTTCCTGGGATTCCTATCTTAGATTCCTATCCCAGGAAGCCAAGCTTGCCTTCTATAGTCTGAGGCAATATGGTTAAATATAGAGTAATGTTACTCGAGCTAAGCTAAGTACCCGAGTACAACCTTTGCCCGCTAATGTTTAATGTTTCTGTGAAATCTGTTTCTGCTTTACCACTTTCTTTGAAATTCCTTTGCATCAACCTAGTAAAGCAATGGTTTAATAATTGAATCCTTTTATTCCTTTCATTAACAATTAAATCCTTTCATTCCTTTCATTAACAATTAAACCCTTTCATTCCTTTTATTAACAATTATTGGGTTGGGGAGAATGAGTCGGCGCCGAAAATGAAAAAAATGTCTAAAACTTCTATTCGACTTCGTCAAATAATATGCGTTTGATATCAGTAGAATGGTTAACTAATTCTCTACAAAATCACATTTAAAAGAAAATTCAAACAGCGCCTCCGCTCAAGAAAAAGCCATTTTTTCACAAAAACTACAAACTGTGATCTAGAAAAAACCATTGGTGGGATCTTCCTGCAAATTTGGCAACTTAAGTAATTGAATGTGCTCTATCTTTTTTATATAAACACCAAAGAAGGTTTATGTGAAAGAAACTGTTCAAATGATGAGTCGGACTCTTTGCCATTTTAACCAGCTGCGTTTGGAAGTTCATAAACTCCACGAAAGAAAAGCTTTGTGGAATCTCTCAAAAGTGATTTTGTAGAGAAATAGTGGATCCTTTTGATGAAACCAAACGTATGTTTAAAGAAGGCTTTATGTGTGCAAAAAGTCCCTTTAAAGTTCGGCGCCGACTCATTCTCCCCAACCCAATAAATCCTTTCATTCCTTTCATTAACAATTGAATCCTTTCATTCCTTTCATTAACAATTAAATCTTTTCATTCCTTTCATTAACAATTAAACCCTTTCATTCCTTTCATTAACAATTAAATCCTTTCATTCGCATTCGTTTCTTTATGTTCATTAGAGTGTTCTATATATAAAATAATTCTCAATGTAAACTTCAAAGTTCATAAAAAGTAAGTTTCAAATGTTTTGTAAAAGAAAGCAAAAAGTTTTTCGCGAATCCGAACCTGTGGGCGAAAAGGAAAGTAGGATTAAGAGCGCGCACACTTACCATGGAGTTAAAGGAATCAAGATTGAAGATCTTACCGCATTGCTGGTGGAATTGCTGGCGGAATATCAACGGGCTTGTTTATTTCGAATTATTAGAGCCAAACATTTGTTTCATCTTGTTTGATTCAACAGCTCAAGAAGGTTGACCAAATTTTGCGTCAAAAGGGTTCAAATACTGTTAATTACTGTTAATACTCGACTGTCAATTTTCTCCGTGACAACGCGCCAGCTCAAACAACGAAAGCTTCTTCTATAGAGTTAGAGGAATCAAGATGGAAGATCTTACCGCATGCACCATATAGTCCAGACTTATCACCATCTGATTTTCACCTCTTCAGATCGATGCAACATTCCCTTGCGAATTGCCAGTTTAAGAATGCGAAAGAGGTCGAGATTTCGGAACCGTTATAAACCGAAAGTACCCAAATTTGAACGTGTTTTTCGAGGGTTTAAGCAAAAACGATACAGCATCGGATTCCCCATGCCCCATACCTTTTCTATCACTATGCTGATCCAATCTTTTACCTTAACTTTGAACCATTCCCTTGTGAAGCTGCTTTTTAGCTGATTTTATGAATAAGAATATCTATCATGTCTACACACAGTCTACGCATACATTATTTAAGTTCTGCATACATTATTTAGGTTCTGTTGCTGTTCACTCACTACCAACCTGCACAAAATGCCCTGCTAACGGTTTCTGGTCGAATTGGAAAGACAGTTCGACTTGTACGAAGACTTGTGGTTTAAAGGGACGAAAGAGTCAAACGAGGATCTGCACATCGGATAGTAAGGGATGTTCGTGTAGGTGGGTGGCCTAGAATTCGATCTTTCAATATTATTGGCTTGGCAACTTGAAACTATTGGCAACTGGTCACTATTGAAAGGCAGTTTTTTCAAAAATTACACCATAGAATTTTCCGAAAATTATACAGCATATCCTAGGGTTAAATTAAAAAGCTACTGACAAATTTTGGTAAGATTCTATGGTGGAGTCTCTACTATATAAAAAGATAATCTCTGTCAGTCTGTGCACGCACTACGATCGATTTCTGGAGATTTCTGGACGCATCCGCACGCACTCTACCTCCGAATTGAAAGCATTTTCCACATCGGTCACTGTTTTGAGCGTTGAGAACAGGCGGGGTCGAACCCGGGTTGTGTGAGCTTGATGAGCGGCTGGCGAGCGTGCTATCCATCGCGCTATAGGGGCCAATTTGCATTTTACGCTAAAATTTAAAGGGTATTTCAGCACAGTTTCTGTGTTGTCGTTTCTGGCAGTCATTTTTACGATTTCTGTAGGCATCCGCACGCACTCCACCTTCGAATTGAAAGCATTTTCCACATCGGTCACTGTTTTGAGCGTTGAGAACATTCTAAAGCTAGGGGGAGGTAATTCTTGGGTATGAATCAACACTAGAATCACCTTCCACATGAAAGGCGATTCTTGGGTGGTGAGCGGTTATTGTTTACTCTAGAATAGCCCCCAAGTGGGGGGTAATTCTTGGATCTAGGGTGGGAGGCGATTCTTGGGTATGGGTTGAGGGTAATTGTTTGATCGTCTCCAAATTGTGCCCATTTCAATAGTCTGCCATGTTCAAGTTGCCAATCAAGTTAGTAAAAAATAGCTTTTCAACCATTAGTGGTTCAGCCATTTCAACCATTGCTCTATTTAGTGGCTCTACCACTCGCTCGGTTCCCTGCCCGGCGAAAATTTGTGAATTCGGTCAATCTACATGTGCGACTGGATATAAAAAGGTTGTTGATACAGATTGAAACCTTTTACTGGTTGATTTTAGTGGAAAAACGTCGCCTTGGAGATTTATGTTTGTGGTAATGTGACAAGGGATGATGATTATGTGACACCGACTTGTATTGTACCTAATCTGATCACAACCAAAAAGACAACAACAACCACAACAACAAAGACAACAACTAAAGCGCCGACAATCACCACAAAGAAGCCTACACCGATAACAACGAAGAAGACGACGACCGAGGCTACCACTAAGCCACCAACTACAATGAAGAAGACGACAACGAAGAAGACGACGAAGAAGACGACGACTAAGACGACGACAAAAGTTACAGCGAAGACAACCGCCAAAACAAGCACTCCAAGTAAGTTTTTCTCGTTTTCTTCAAGATTCTTCAAGAAAGCTGACGCTCCAATTTCAGCCACTACTCCAACGACAACCCCGACAACACCTTGCGTTACCCCCAGCGTACCTCTTCAGTGCACTGTAGCAGGTTCATTAAAAATCTGAAACAAAATTGAACTAAATCTGAACCAAAGCTAAACCAAATCTGAAACAAAAAACAAAAACAAAACAAAAAAAATCAGATTTAACATGATCATCATCATGTTAAAGCTTTATCGTGCATCGCTTAATTATTCAAAATTATATTAATTATTCAGCTGCGGATCAACCGTTGTACAAATGCCAGGAAGGATATCAATATTTCCCAGCTACGGGCTATGAATATAAAGTGAGCGGAAAGCATTGATCATTGGCTATTTCTGTTCTGTTTAGGTTCTCAATGATACGCCCTGGACAGCGGCTGAGGCGGCTTGTGTGGCCGAGTCGGGTCATCTTGTATCGATTCACAGTGAAGCTGAAAACAACTTTGTGCAGAGTGAGTTGAGAATTGAGAGATTTTGAAGATGAACAGAAAAAAGGATTTGCCTTTTTTTTGTTTTTTAATGTTTTAACAAATGCGTGACGTCCTGACCCCCACCAGTGGGTCACATCAAAATTTAGCTCGAATTTATGAACAGATTAAGCTCAAAATTTGTTTATCGGGGTTTTCGGGGTCGGGGAAATCGAAGCTAGTGTTTGTTTTAACCTACAGTAACCGCAAGTAACCGTAACTCGAAATAAGAGTGTAAGTCTAGACGATTTTGAGGAGTTTGACAACTTTATTTGACATTGAAGAAACTTTTTTCCTATCGGGAAAGTCCAGTTATGAATACCGTATTTTCTCTAATACAGTCGAACCTCTCTATAACGAACCTCGATATAACGTAAACCTCTCTATAACGTAAGGCGTGACCGGTCCCGGCCGACGTTAAGCTATATAAAACGGCACTCTAGATAACGTAAACCTCTATATAACGTAAGCTATAGCCGTCCCGTGAGTTACGTTACAGAGAGGTTCGACTGTAGTAGTGCGCACTACTATTTTTTTAAACCCCCTCCTAAACCGCAACACTATTAGAGAGTGCACTACTATTAAAGAGTTTTATCATTTACCAAAGTAAGACAGATATAAGATTTGTTCCAAAAATTCTTGCAATTCTTTCACGTACACCTTTGGCTCCTTTTGACATACAGTTGTGGGCCGGCGAGTTGACAATTTGTGTCTTGACAAACAAAAAAAAAAAAGATGTTTTTGCACTTTACACAACAATTTTAGATTTTTTTGCTAACTTTTTCATGTGTAAAATAGTTAAATAAATAATAATAATACTTTATTCAAACGATAAAGTGAAAGAAATGATAGAGAAATGCACAGTGATACTTAATCATACAATACATACTGAAATCAATAAGCCAATTACTTACGGCAAAGAGCCACTAGATCTAAAGGATCGATACGTTTCTTGAATATGAAAAGCGACTGAATTTCTCGTATGTCGTTTGGGAGCAAGTTCCATAATCTAGCGGCTCTAACGGGAAATGAATTTGATAAAGAGGCATTGGAAGCAAAGGGAATTTGCAAAAGGAATGAGCCACTTCTGGGCCCTGACCGCGGTTTATATTTGAAAAAGTCTATAAACAAAGGGCTAATCTGTTTACAACGGAGGATTTTCAAAGTTTTGACTAAATCAATGACAAAGCGACGATGCTGTAAAGTTTTTAGTTTAATAAATGAATAAAAAAAGCCTCACTTTTGGTTGCTTCAATAGCTTTAGAATGTCACAAAAACATAAACTCAAAAAGGTTTAGATGAAAAAGAAGCACCAGAAATTCAAATTTTCGAGGGTGCACTACTATTTTTTCAACCCCCTCTCGGACCGCAATACTATTAAAGAGTGCACTACTATTAGAGAGAATATGGTATTTACAAAATATTGGGTTGTCCAGTTGTGAATGCGCGTTTTTTACTATTTTGTAAATTTCTCAAGATACCGAAATCAAGAAAAAGATATAAATGAGTTTTATTCGAAAGCTGAAGATCTCCTCTACATTTTGATATAAAAAGCTTTTGAATTTGTTCAGCTTTTGGGCAAATTGACTGCACAGAAGAAGAGGTGGCCAAAAAAATGAAAGGATGCCTTTGGATCAAGTTTTGGCTCCGCTCAAATTGAGTTAACCGTTTGATGTTTAGCCAATAGATATATCAATACAACTTTTTTAAAATATACCAATTTCAGAGCATCTTTACTTTTCTTTTCTTTTCTGGGCGCTTATTTTACACCATAAAACTTGAGGAATAGCTAAGCTGAAATAGATTTTTTTTTTTCGAAAACGACCTCTCCCTTTGTGCAGTCAAATTCCCAAGAAGTTGAATGAATTCAAAAACTTTTTTATTCCAAAATGTAGAGGAGATCTTGAGCTTTCGAATGATATATAACACTCATATAAATCTGTTCGATATCTTGAGAAATTAACAAAATAGTAAAAAACGCGCATTCATAACTGGACAACCCAATATTTGAGTGATTTTTTTGCTTTGATATGAAAGTATCCTCTGAGATCTCTTCTATTAAAAAAATGAAATGAAAGTGAGATCAAAAATAATAAAGTTATTCATTTTCTTGTGAAAAAAATCCCGGTTATTCCGGAATTTTTGACTTTGAATTGTGCAAAACGATCAAAAATTTTGATGTTCGCGCGGCTTACTGTACTGTAGTTGGGGTTACTGTAGTTGAAAACTAAAACCGGATTCGAATCTTCACCCAAAAAAAACCCCGGAGAAAAATTTTCAGACTCTTGTGTTGTTTCCGGGTATTTTGAAAGAATTTTGAAAAAAATCCGGTTTTTTTTCAACAAGTCGCCAACTTTGAAGGCCTATAACTTTGCCCAGAGATTATATTTTTGTTAACTTTTTATAGCATTGTACAGAGGACATTTCAGGCGTTCAAACGATACCAAATAGAGGTTGATTGGATAAACCAGTTCAAGAAAATCAAAGCAAACTCTAAGCAAATGAGGCCTATCTAACTCGGATGTCGTGTCGCCTGGTTTGCATAAGAACGAAAAATCCAGTCAAGCTCTATTTGGTATCGATTGAAAGCCTGAAATGTTCTCTGTAAAATGCTATAAAAAGTTGACAAAAATATTATCTCTGGAAGAAGTTACAGGCCTACAAAGTTGGCGACTCGTTGAAAATATCCGGAAACTACGCAAGAGTCAATTTTCAGATCAACTAGCATAGAATTCTCTCGTCCGAATTACCAGTTAAGCAAAAAAAAATGGCTTCTTCGCGAATGTGTTAAATTTTCAGCATTTCCAGGTCTCTGCTGTCTTTCCGGTTGCCAAAGAGACGATCGGGGTTACCCTGGAATCTATATAACTGGTGGATATAAGGTCGGTTTAAAAGTTGCTCCCTTTTTTATCTTTTCTAATCCAACAGACAAAGATTTCTTGGCAACCAAATATGCCAAGGAATCTAGCTTTTTGAGCTTCGAAAGGTGAAACATTTCGTTTTTTAGGAGAACGGGGAGCTTGTCTGGAGCGATGGCTCTTCGATGGACTATTTCGGGCTAAACTCGACAAACTGTATTGGTATCTGCTCTGAGCCGGATTGCATGCTTGTGGTCAGTCAGCTTTGGATTGGGTTTCTCTCAAAAAAAATACGCTTACTAGAAAGCAGAATAGCTAAAAGCTAGCTTCAATAGCTGAAATTGCTGTAGCTTTTGCCTTTAAATACAAACGTACAAAAATCCAATTTGTTTCTTGTTTTAAAGTACAGGTTGTCCCAAAATTATGCAAAATTCGATTATTGATCTTTTTGTTAATTTTCAAGAAATGAGATAGCCGTGAGATAACACGCTAATCAAGCAAGAGTGGGTCCTTTGACTAAGTCCTGTCGTTTTGATGGTTATGAGTTTGCTCGATGTCAAACCAGGTTTCTGTTGGCCTGGCTGTTGGCAAATCCAATTGTGATTTCATCCTGAAAACCAATACTAATCCAAAAAACCAATATTAATCCAAAAAACCAATACTAATCCAAAAAACCAATACAAAAGAGTCATCAATAAGAAAAAGAACGAGATAAAAAAGATAAAACTATCAAAACAGAATCAGTTCCATAATTTTGAAACACCCTGCAGAATTGTTTTTTGTTTCATTCTGTCTAGCATGTCTAGCATTAACAAAACCTTAAAGATATTTAGCCAAGTAATCAAATATTCACTTTTTAACTGCAAAGAAAGCGCAGTTCAAATAAAGCGCACAGAAATGTGCTTTATTTGAAGTTTAAGCATTATTCGATTAAAAAATTAGGTGACCATTTGTAATCGAACAATTATTTGTTGGGGCTCATTAGCAGGCACACTAGCAGCTCACTAGCAGGCTCATTAGCAGCTTCGAATTCCCGGGAATAACGAGAAAATTTCCAGATAGTCAGCTACGATTGTATCGCAGCGTGCCCACCAGGCACCTGGTATGTGCCTCCAAACCGTGAAGTGGCTCGCTCCTATGCTGTCTGCAAGAGACGTCCCCCGTGTCTCCTTGCATAAGAAAATTACATAAATTTGCTCGTTTGGCTATTTCAAACTGCCGTGTCCCATTTGTAATGAATTTCCCTTTTTGTTGTGTCTTTTTTTAACGCACTAATAAAGTTTTTTCGAGTTTTTGAATCGTTCTGAAAATTTGGATATAAGCTTCATTTTCGATTCTCTACAACTTTTCCATTGACACTAAAATGGGTTTCTTTTGAAGAAAGTGCTCAAACTGGGACATCTCCAGTCCTTAATTTTTCCAGTCCTCCAGTCCACACTTGTCTCACACACAAACCAAAATCCTACTACGAAAGAGGACTGGAGATCCCAGTTTGAGCACTTTCTTCAAAAGAAACCCATTTTGGTGTCAATAGAAAAGTTGTAGAGAATCGAAAATTAGGCTTATAGCCAAATTTTCAAAAAGATACACTTAGTAGTTTCGCTTAAAATGTTTTGTGAAATGCAAGTTTTGTGAAAATTCGTAAATTTCGCATTTCTTGAAAACCAGTTTTTGAATCGCTCTGAAAATTTGGATATAAGCTTGATTTTTAATTCTCTACAACTTTTCCATTGACACCAAAATGGGTTCCTTTTGAAGAAAGTGCTCAAACTGTCACATATGACAATAGCCGGCAGTTTTCAATTCACCAACCCAATAAATTAAAAATAATAATCAAAAAAGTAATTAAACAAATTGGGTTTAATTTCATTTTACTTTAAATCAATTTAAAGGAATTCTCTCTTGAAATAATAAAATTCTGACGACAGATGCCTTTCGGACCGTCCACCGTACAGTTTGCGTTTCAGACGTTTCCGCGCCAAACGTCGGAAACTACCGTAACCCGACGCAATAAAACGACCCCGCCACAAAGAATTTTTCAATCTTTTGTCGTGTTTTATTTTTCGATCTTTTTTTTCTTTTTTTTTTCCATTGACACCAAAATGGGTTTCTTTTGAAGAAAGTGCTCAAACTTTGACATATGACAATAGCCCGCAGTTTTCAATTCACCAACCCAATACATCCGCAAAATTTAATCATTTAATCATCAAAAATCGATCAATTTAATCAAAATAAAATAAAAAACATCAAAATAAGATGAATGAGTAATTCATGCCGCATCAATTTCTTTCAACATCCATTCGTAGAAATCGTTCTTTCCCACTTCTTGTCGGATCATGAATCCAGCGAGGTAGCTCAATAGGACATGACGTGCCGTGCCGCGATACTTCTTGTTTCTTCATTTGGCAGATCCCATAGACGCATGTGCAAGTAGTAAGCAAGATGCAGCTCACATTCGCCTTTCCCTTCGAGAAGAGACACTCATCCACCTCGACGCGTCGACTGGGTCTTCCAATTTCTCCGTGCAGCTTGTTCACCAGATATTCCACGCAAAGATCCCTCATGTAGTTGTTGAAGTCGACCGCGGTGTTGTTATTCATCTCTAATTCTTTCGCACAATAGTCGATCGAGGTCCACTGTTGAGTCCATCCATAGATGAATCGTAGGATTGTGAGAAACGGAGTTTTGGTGCCTCGATCCATGAGCCAACATGAGCCGATCGCTGTACGGCACGACGTTTTGTCACATCTCTATTGGGGATTTTGATTTAGCGATAGCTTCATAATGTGGAGGATTGGCGCATGTGTAAGCAAGATGCGGCGTCGTTGAAAGATTCGTTGCATCGGCATCGGTAGTCGGTAGGCGAAACATGAATCTGCCGTCAGGAAATAGCAAAAGAATGAATTTTCGGTGGTTTTCCTTGTTCATTTTAATGAAAGGATGCTAATTTGGCGGATTTATAACGGAAAGAAAAATGAAAAAGAAGGAAAAAAAGAACCTTTTGTTTTTTTCATAAATATCTTTGCAACAATGCATTTATTTCTGAGAATGATTTATTTCGGAAGTGCCTTGTTCCACAGTTCGATGTTTACTTGGGAACACAGAGACCAGTGGCCTTGTTGCACGGAGCGGTGGCATTGGAGCAAGCAGAGCAGACTGCGCCCGGTGGATAGATGGCCACATTAGCAGCCAATCCTCTGGAAAGACAGTTTGCTCAAATGCGAAAGAACGATTGAATATAAAAGTCAGTAAAGCCCAGCTTTTCATCACACCAAGCTATAATTTAGTTGCTTTCTCTCTCCCTTGTTAAAATGCGAGTAAATTAACAGATTCACTTACTTTGGTGTCATCTGACAAAGCACGGCGAAATGGGCGCTCTCATTCCGGTAAACACACGCGATCTTTTGCACATTTCCGGCCATAAACTGAAAAGTTGAAGTCCAATTTATTGTGAGTAAGTCCAATTGATTGTAAGTCAATTGGACTTCAACTGCCAACCGGTTGTGGTGGTCAAATGGCACCTGCGATATACTGGCCGGCAGAGAATTTTGCGCTAATTCCGAATCTGCTTTCCGTTTTTGCTAAATAGTATTCTGTCAAAAGTTATAAGCATGCAAAGGTTTGGATTTCATTTATTTGTATCCTCACAGGGAAAAACAAATTGAATTTGAAAATTTGAAACAAAAATCGTTTGAAGTCTCGAATGAAACTCGCTCATTTCACGAATTTTCATATTTTCATCAATGCCGCGAAGAGTCCTGCACCTGGGAAATCTGCTTATAAACTCCAGGGATGATTTTGAAAATCTCGAGGGCTAATTTCCATACAAAACTTCCATACATTGCATGCTTGTAACTTTTGACAGAGTGCTATTTAGCAGAAACGGAAAACGGATTCGGAATCAGCGCTAAATTCTGCGTCGGCTAGTACACGTTTGATACAAATAAGTCGGCACATTTAGCTACCCGAACCCGGTTGGCATTTCCTTGCTAGAACAAACTTCAATTTCAATACCCAAATCTTTTCCAAGCATTACCTGATAGGCCATGTTGATGCTGTCGCTTTGACTTTTCTTGTATGCAATCCATGGGAGGCCGATGTCCTGCACAAAACCGTACCAGCTGTTCTCCCAGGCGATATCAACTGAAACAAATAAGTCTCGATTAAAGAAAACACTAGTATTAGGGATTTTTAAGCCATGATAGCGATTTCTCAGCGACTCAACGCGTTAAAGATTTCGGTTGACGAGTTTCGGTTGACGGGTTGATGTATTTAGTTCGTCATCATCATCGCATGAATTAGTTATTTACATACCGTAAATACTGTAATAGTCACCCACCCCATAGATGACGGTCCGGAGTGTTGCGTAGTCTAGCTTTGAACGCGTTTTTCTTGACACTGGTTTATGTTACAATGCGCTCTTAGGTATCAAAAAATAGCTGAAATTCAGGGCTATTTTTTGATACCAAAGACGCATTTTTTGAAAGTACGGGCGCTTTGAAAAAAATGAAAAACTAAAAAACTTTTGCGACTACGCGACTGTACGAGGCGGGTGGGGTACTATTACAGTATTTACAGATTTACATACATTAGATGAGCTGAGATTTCTTCTTAAAACCAACAAATGGATTTCGGGGTGGGACATCGTTGAAGTTGTCGAGCCACGAATCAATTCCAACGCTGATCTCTCCAACAGTGGCTGCCACTGTGCCGGTCATCGCTCCGTTGGCTAACGAATCCAAACGTTTCTTGGCAGCCATTGCCAACGCGTCACTCCAAACCTGTAAAGATCAATTTAGATATTTAGGAGAAACTGTTTTTTACCAGTTTATAGGTTCTCTTCGATCTCGGATAGTACTTTGGGGGAGTTGGAGATCCTGGCTGAAAATTGACTTCTTTAAAAAGATTAATTAACTTCTATTTAAAAGAACTCTATGTTTATGGTTTAAAACTGACCGCCTGGGTGCCCAAATGGCCCCACGGCTCAATTCCTTTAGCCATACGGGAGCGGAGATTGTTGAACTTCTAAAATAGTAAAATGTTCTCTGTTAAGAGTAAAATGTTCTCTGTTAATTGTAAAAGTAAAATGTTTTCTGTTAATTGTAAACTTACGGCTAGGATATAGGTTTGTACAGTTCCAGAGAAGGCCATTGAGACTGAAGCCGAGGCAACTGAAAAAAATGGAACAAGGTCAGCTAAACCTCGTTTCACAAGGTCAACTGAACCTTGTTTGACAAGGACAGCTAAATTTTATTAACTAATCTGTGCTCTGTATAACGCCGTTATATATATTTACTTACCAGCCACGACGAGAGTAATACAGAGAAGAAGTTTCATCGTTTGTGTGGAGTCGAAGAAGGAGAAGAGACCAAAAGTCCAATACAAATATTCATTTCTCATGGAATTTATATAGGAAGTGGATGAACCCATTCTGTATTCTTTCCATTGTTCGGAATGAAGTTTGAAGACTGGTTAACTGTTGGCCATTCAGGAATAGACTCCCACGCGTGAAAAACTCGGCTTCACTCTTTTGTTGGATTGACAAAAATAAGCTGCTCTCTCTACAGATCTGCAAAAAAGGCGCACAATACACTCAGCTTCAATGCATTTTATTGGTTTGCAAGACAGAAAACTACAGACTAAACAGCCGCCTACGAGAAGTATTTGATCATTGACTTTCCTGAACACAAAGCATAATGGTTAACTAACTGATTAGTAAAAAAGAAACGCTGATCGATAAAGTGCATGGTTAAAATTTGTATTTATTGAGTTGAGGTTGAGGTTGAGGAAAAAGCCTTGACTATGCGCACTTTAACAACAAAAATAACAACAATTATTCCTCAAAGTATAGCCCATCATTATCTACGACTTTCTCATCGATCTTCAAACTTTCGGATCTGCTCGATGCATCACTTCTTCGGTTTTGAATCAAAGAACTCTTAGCAAGCTTCTTCAACTTCTTCAAATGACTCGAATCGGTGACTATTCAGAAAATGCTCAAATTTTTCGCAGCTGAGTCAGAGTCAGAACTTTTCCTCAACTTAATAATAGCGTTTATTATGCACCACGATCCCAGTACAAAGTTTGGCAAAAATCTGATGGTGGTGGTGATCATGGTGGCTCAGAAAATTCATGTATAGCGGAATCATGAAATCGGGAAAAGTGAAAAAAAGAT